CGGTGTCGACTCTTTGCTGATAACAGTTGTACCAGTTGTCTCTAGCTCATGTATCTGTTTTGTGGTTAGCAACACCTCATGAGGCGTTGACTCTGACGGAGGAGCAGTAGTCACAAATGCCGATGTCGACTCTCTACTGATAACAGTTGTACCAGTTGTCTCTAACTCCTCTATCTGCTTCGTCGTTAGTAACACCGCATGAGACGTTGTCTCTGACGGAGCAGCAGTAGTCACAAATGCCCTTGTCGACTCTTTGCTGATAACAGTTGTACCAGTTGTCTCTAACTCCTCTATCTGCTTCGTCGTTAGTAACACCTCATGAGGCGTTGTCTCTGACGGAGCAGCAGTAGTCACAAATGCCGGTGTCGACTCTTTGCTGATAATAGTTGTACCAGTTGTCTCTAACTCCTCTATCTGCTTCGTCGTTAGTAACACCTCATGAGGCGTTGTCTCTGACGGAGCAGCAGTAGTCACAAATGCCAGTGTCGACTCTTTGCTGATAATAGTTGTACCAGTTGTCTCTAACTCCTCTATCTGCTTCGTCGTTAGTAACACCTCATGAGGCGTTGTCTCTGACGGAGCAGCAGTAGTCACAAATGCCGGTGTCGACTCTTTGCTGATAATAGTTGTACCAGTTGTCTCTAACTCCTCTATCTGCTTCGTCGTTAGTAACACCTCATGAGGCGTTGTCTCTGACGGAGCAGCAGTAGTCACAAATGCCGGTGTCGACTCTTTGCTGATAACAGTTGTACCAGTTGTCTCTAGCTCATGTATCTGTTTTGTGGTTAGCAACACCTCATGAGGCGTTGTCTCTGACGGAGCAGCAGTAGTCACAAATGCCAGTGTAGACTCTTTGCTGATAATAGTTGTACCAGTTGTCTCTAACTCCTCTATCTGTTTGGTCGTTAGTAACACCTCATGAGGCGTTGTCTCTGACGGAGCAGCAGTAGTCACAAATGCCGGCGTCGACTCTTTGCTGATAACAGTTGTACCAGTTGTCTCTAACTCCTCTATCTGTTTGGTCGTTAGTAACACCTCATGAGGCGTTGTCTCTGACGGAGCAGCAGTAGTCACAAATGCCGGTGTCGACTCTTTGCTGATAACAGTTGTACCAGTTGTCTCTAACTCCTCTATCTGTTTCGTCGTTAGTAACACCTCATGAGGCGTTGTCTCTGACGGAGCAGCAGTAGTCACAAATGCCGGTGTCGACTCTTTGCTGATAACAGTTGTACCAGTTGTCTCTAGCTCATGTATTTGTTTTGTGGTTAGCAACACCTCATGAGGCGTTGACTCTGACGGAGGAGCAGTAGTCACAAATGCCGATGTCGACTCTTTACTGATAACAGTTGTACCAGTTTTCTCTAACTCCTCTATCTGTTTTGTGGTTAGCAACACCTCATGAGGCGTTGTCTCTGACGGAGCAGCAGTAGTCACAAATGCCAGTGTAGACTCTTTGCTGATAATAGTTGTACCAGTTGTCTCTAACTCCTCTATCTGTTTGGTCGTTAGTAACACCTCATGAGGCGTTGTCTCTGACGGAGCAGCAGTAGTCACAAATGCCGGTGTCGACTCTTTGCTGATAACAGTTGTACCAGTTGTCTCTAACTCCTCTATCTGTTTGGTCGTTAGTAACACCTCATGAGGCGTTGTCTCTGACGGAGCAGCAGTAGTCACAAATGCCGGTGTCGACTCTTGCTGATAATAGTTGTACCAGTTGTCTCTAACTCCTCTATCTGTTTGGTCGTTAGTAACACCTCATGAGGCGTTGTCTCTGACGGAGCAGCAGTAGTCACAAATGCCGGTGTCGACTCTTTGCTGATAATAGTTTTACCAGTTGTCTCTAACTCCTCTATCTGCTTCGTCGTTAGTAACACCTCATGAGGCGTTGTCTCTGACGGAGCAGCAGTAGTCACAAATGCCGGTGTCGACTCTTTGCTGATAACAGTTGTACCAGTTGTCTCTAACTCCTCTATCTGTTTCGTCGTTAGTAACACCTCATGAGGCGTTGTCTCTGACGGAGCAGCAGTAGTCACAAATGCCAGTGTCGACTCTTTGCTGATAATAGTTGTACCAGTTGTCTCTAACTCCTCTATCTGCTTCGTCGTTAGTAACACCTCATGAGGCGTTGTCTCTGACGGAGCAGCAGTAGTCACAAATGCCGGTGTCGACTCTTTGCTGATAATAGTTGTACCAGTTGTCTCTAACTCCTCTATCTGCTTCGTCGTTAGTAACACCTCATGAGGCGTTGTCTCTGACGGAGCAGCAGTAGTCACAAATGCCGGTGTCGACTCTTTGCTGATAACAGTTGTACCAGTTGTCTCTAGCTCATGTATCTGTTTTGTGGTTAGCAACACCTCATGAGGCGTTGACTCTGACGGAGGAGCAGTAGTCACAAATGCCGATGTCGACTCTCTACTGATAACAGTTGTACCAGTTGTCTCTAACTCCTCTATCTGCTTCGTCGTTAGTAACACCGCATGAGACGTTGTCTCTGACGGAGCAGCAGTAGTCACAAATGCCCTTGTCGACTCTTTGCTGATAACAGTTGTACCAGTTGTCTCTAACTCCTCTATCTGCTTCGTCGTTAGTAACACCTCATGAGGCGTTGTCTCTGACGGAGCAGCAGTAGTCACAAATGCCGGTGTCGACTCTTTGCTGATAATAGTTGTACCAGTTGTCTCTAACTCCTCTATCTGCTTCGTCGTTAGTAACACCTCATGAGGCGTTGTCTCTGACGGAGCAGCAGTAGTCACAAATGCCAGTGTCGACTCTTTGCTGATAATAGTTGTACCAGTTGTCTCTAACTCCTCTATCTGCTTCGTCGTTAGTAACACCTCATGAGGCGTTGTCTCTGACGGAGCAGCAGTAGTCACAAATGCCGGTGTCGACTCTTTGCTGATAATAGTTGTACCAGTTGTCTCTAACTCCTCTATCTGCTTCGTCGTTAGTAACACCTCATGAGGCGTTGTCTCTGACGGAGCAGCAGTAGTCACAAATGCCGGTGTCGACTCTTTGCTGATAACAGTTGTACCAGTTGTCTCTAGCTCATGTATCTGTTTTGTGGTTAGCAACACCTCATGAGGCGTTGTCTCTGACGGAGCAGCAGTAGTCACAAATGCCAGTGTAGACTCTTTGCTGATAATAGTTGTACCAGTTGTCTCTAACTCCTCTATCTGTTTGGTCGTTAGTAACACCTCATGAGGCGTTGTCTCTGACGGAGCAGCAGTAGTCACAAATGCCGGCGTCGACTCTTTGCTGATAACAGTTGTACCAGTTGTCTCTAACTCCTCTATCTGTTTGGTCGTTAGTAACACCTCATGAGGCGTTGTCTCTGACGGAGCAGCAGTAGTCACAAATGCCGGTGTCGACTCTTTGCTGATAACAGTTGTACCAGTTGTCTCTAACTCCTCTATCTGTTTCGTCGTTAGTAACACCTCATGAGGCGTTGTCTCTGACGGAGCAGCAGTAGTCACAAATGCCGGTGTCGACTCTTTGCTGATAACAGTTGTACCAGTTGTCTCTAACTCCTCTATCTGTTTCGTCGTTAGTAACACCTCATGAGGCGTTGTCTCTGATGGAGTAGCAGTAGTCACAAATGCCGGTGTCGACTCTTTGCTGATAACAGTTGTACCAGTTGTCTCTAGCTCATGTATCTGTTTTGTGGTTAGTAACACCTCATGAGGCGTTGTCTCTGACGGAGCAGCAGTAGTCACAAATGCCAGTGTAGACTCTTTGCTGATAACAGTTGTAGCAGCTGTTTCTTGTTTTACAGTAGTCATACCTGCTGTTTCTAACCCCTTTGTCGTGAACTTTGCTCCATATTGAGTGGTTTTCTCGCTGGTAGCCGCAGAAATCGATGCTGCTCCAGTGAAAACATTAGATTCCGTTGCTACAGACATATTTATTTGGGGATAACCTAAGGTTGTAACTAATTCTTCTCCATGCATTGGCGTGACGGTAACAAATGGTTCTATAGTTGTCATAACAGGATACACTAACGTCTTACCCTCAGAAGTCGGAGCTAGCGAAATAGTTGTTCTTACTGGTTTTAGGGTTACCGGGATATGCGTTGATGTTTCACCTATAACCGTTGTAGTAGAAGGAGCAGTTGTTTCTAGCTTCCCATTTTGCGTCGTTGTTGACAACACTTCATAAGGAGTTGTTTTTGATGGTGCAGCAGTAGTCATAAAGGCTGGTGTCGATTCTTTGTTGATAACTGTGTGAGCATCTGTTTCTATTTCCTCTACTGTTTTTGTTGATAATAAGATCTCGTGAGGAGTTGTTTCCGGTAATGCAGAAGTAGTCATAGAGAATGAGGTGGATTCTCTGCTAATGAAAGTGGTACCTGTTGTTGCTAGTTCCTCTACTTGTTTTGTTGTTAACAAGACCTCATGAGGAGTTGTTTTTGGTGGTGCAGGAGTAGTTATAAAAGTTGATGTGGATCCTTTGCTAATGACAGTGGTACCGGTTGTTTCTAGTTCCTCTAGTTGTTTTGTTGTTAACAAGACCTCACGAGGTATTGTTTCCAATGGTGCAGAGGTAGTAACAAAGGCGAGCGTAGATTCTTTGCTAATGACAATGGTACCAGTAGTTTCTAGTTCCTCCAATTGCTTTGTGGTCAATAGCACCTCATGAGGAGTCCCTGATGGAACAGCAGTTGTTGCTAAGCCGGTGTCGATTCTTTGCTAATGACAGTAGTACCATGAGGAGCTGTTTCTGATGGTACAGAGGTAGTTGGGTAAGCTGATGTTGATTCTTTGGTAATGACAGTCGTTGGTAACTCTTGTTCCATTGAAGTAGTACCTGATTCCGTCGCTACAGAAATGTTTTGCTTTGGTGCAGCCAAGGTGGTCATCTCTCCTTCAACATATTTTGGTGTGATTGTAACAAATGTTTCTTGAGTGGTCGTTTCGGGAAAAACCAACATTTTTCCTTCTATGGTTGTCATTCCTTCAATCTCCCTTGTGGTCAGTTCCACTGTTGTTAGTTCAGTTCCAGGTTTAATAAATGTTAGAGTGGTAGCAGGGATAGCGGTTGTTATTTGTGTTTGTGTTTCTGTTAGTGTTTCGGGTGTGGTAACCATCTCTGTTATTCCGTAAAACAAAATTAGTATGAGTATTTCACAGTATCATCGTTTCTGATGACGATGGAATGGTGGTGATGTGTGTTAGAGTGAGTGTGATGTTAGCCAAAACCGATGTAGCTGATCCTACCTTATTTACAAATATTTACAACTTATCTTGAATATGTACAATAAATATTGTCTTGAGATATCATGAAGATACTGTATGCCCAGCTGTGTACTATAATTACATTATGTTCGGTTTCATAGTTTATATGATGATATTTGTTGATTGAGAATGACTCCAATAAATAATTTGAAATATAAGATACTGGGTTTCATCATACCTTCATGATTTCTCATTGAATATGGTGCATCATTAAGAGAACTCTGAAAGATGTGATGAAGATTGAGGTGTTGCTATTTTGATTTTAGTATATATTCTACAATTCGAGCTTTACAACTTTTCAGGAAAGATTTTAAACTTTTACAAGATCTCAGATGGTTAAAAGATTTTTTTACACGAAAGTTCAGTATCATTCGGTCTACAAACCTTACTAATAAGCGTCTGCTAACCTCATCAGAAGCATCTTGAAGCAAACCTAAATAGCCAATTGGAATGATTTCTGATGATGACGTTATGACAGCGATGCGATGACAATGATAGTGGAAATGAAAACAGCAACACGACGTAACCGGTGATGCTGTGGATATAACTGACACTTACCTTTGAGGCACACTCCCGTCAGAGGATTGCATGGTATACCTGGAGGACAGTTGGGGCATTGAGGCGCAGGAATTCGAGGTTCTCCTAGAAAACGAATAGTGAAATTGAAAATTGTATCAATATGTATACACGTGCAAGATGAATCCAAATTTACTCTCCAGACTGTTGCCTGCTCAGTTAGTTGTTGATTTTTTCATGAAGGTGCTGCATGTGAGATGGAGAGGGTTATGTCACTATGATTAACAATCCATTATCAAAAATCTATATGCTGCTCCTATGGAAATGGAATAAGCATCTCCAATAGCACCATATATAGATTCAATGATGATATAAACAAGAAAATTCTGTTAATGACAGCGATGATTTAGCTGCTGCTGGGCAGCGCCTGGGTGGCTGGAGGTCAATCTGTCAAAAGTAGATGTGAAAAAATACATTTGTTAGAAATATAACCTATTTTTCACGAGTACCTCAAGCTTTGAAGTCTTAGTGACGTGAACATCTGATCAGCAATTGACACGTTTGTTTCTAACATCAGACATGATCTCCAACCTAAGTAATGCCATCTACTTCCAGCTTTCCAGATTACCTATATTCCAGCGAATGACTGGGCTGCTCCATCTTTTTGATGGATTACTATTTTTTTTAAGCAACTAACTGAAATCAGTAGACACTTACCATATGCGCATTGGCATCCGTCGCAAACGTAGTTGTGGTTTCCACAGTCTGAGTCCTTTTGACATTGGCATACTGTAAACAGATATAAATATAATATATCCCTCAAAAAACTCAATGAAACTATACAATATGTACACAAACGTCTGTGAACTTGATTGGTTTGTACGCGATCAAATTATTTATGGTCACTTATGCAACTATAATTCTTGAGGTTATACACAACCAAATCATTTAAAAGAGGATAATAAGCAACAAGGTAGTGTTATAAGAAAAAATATTGTTGCATATTTAAAACAAAGACAAAGGCTTAGGATATGGATGGCAGCTAAGAAAATATTATTAGATTGTACAGTTATCGATTTAATTTGCACAGATATATTTATATTATCACAGTATATTAGTCACCGACACTCATCTTACATATTTCTGTATCCAATCTTACCTTTAACGCACACTGGTTGATGTTCCTGTACCTGACAGTCTTGGGATTGTGAGCATGGATTTGATATGACGCATGGGTTTTGGCACTTTTTATTTATACATGCTTGATTCGATGAGCATTCAGAATGAGACCGACACAATATATCTGTGCCAGAAAAGAGAACGTGATAAGTAAAATAGGTTTAAATTGCTAGTCAAAGTTTGCTGAATGATATTAAGATGATTCACACATTAAAGGAGTATGAGATAATTTCATAAATTCATACAAAAAGCGAAAACATTTACTTAACAATACTTTTTCATTAGACTGTATATTGTATCATGCCAATAGCCACTATTCTGACATTCCTTTGATGCATGAATATATAATCAAATTATCATTCTCATATCACTCTTTTTCACCTAAAGGTAATTTTAGCAGAAACAAAGATATTGTGAATTTACGGCGAAGCCTAAATATGAGATGGTGAAAAAGATAGATAAATCTATAATAGAATCCTGATAACAAGTGTTAAGCTTCAAGCCAATAGTAAGCGTAAAAGCAAAGTTAAGAATTCAAATGCAAAGCAAATCAAAAAAGCCAATTCCATCACCATATAAACAGACATTGGTTTTTACAATATTTACAGTTTTTAGATAAATATACATCTAAAAAGACTGTACCAGTGAATATAAGCATTGAAAGCTGTACATTCAGACCACTTCACCAAATAGGTCTGCTTGCCGATTCGTGTTTCTAATAATACTATTTCTGAGAGAAGGTATATCTGCTATATCTATAGCAGCAAAAGTCTCAACTTTTTTCAGACAAGGAACAGCGATATTAATCTCAGTGGTCTGAATGCATTTACCAGAGTTGTAACTCTGGATATTGATATATACAGTGGCTGTAAAATAAATGTTCTATCAATAAGGTATATCAAGTAGAATATAGGATACAAACCTGTAAGCAAAAACAGATTGCAAAATAGTTTTACAGAACTAATGTTTATAGAAAGTCACATGACAGAAAGTATATCTAGGTTGCAGCACTAAAGCAAAAAGCTCACGATATAACCACCCCATAATAAGTACAAATCTGTCCCCGGAGCATTTTATTATTTCTTAAATTGAATGGAAGCTTTTTAATTTCACAAAAATCGTTTAGACTCAAACAGCTTGAAAGCAGAATAAAAGGCTTTTGTTTTTGGTCAGATGGTAACATCGTAGAGCTTTAGAAAAGTCGTAGGCATATATACAGGTAAATGGAGAAGGCACCACATACCTGTATAGCTCATAAGACAAGGTTGTGTCAAGGTTTGAGTATCATAGTTTTGGAGCTGGGATAGAACCTGTGCCAAGTTTGTTCATAGATATTATTGAAGGGACGTATTGTATGTAATTTCGGCTTCTTTAAGCAGCAGCGCATTTGGTCTGCAAAAGTTTATTGTGGACAAATTGAATTACCATGATAATAACCTAGATTGATTCCCTCAGTAAAACAAGCAAGAACTAGTCTTGAACCTTGAATAATTTAGATATATTGCAACTGCCGCCTTCTTCCCTTTTGTTGTCTAGCTCATTAGATTTCACCTGTGAATGATTGTTCCAAGGTTGAATCACTTTGCAGTGATTTAAAGTAAACTTCACACTATGGCAGAGATTCGTCCGTCACCAAATAAAGCTCTCTTTTCCAAGCGACTCGAACTGAAAGGAAACTAGTAGCAGGATATCCAGATATCGGCAAGAAGATAAAAGAAGGAAGGTTTAGAGCTTGCTATAGGCCTAGGTGTTTCTATCAGACTGTAAACGACGCAGCATAGTGACACTGAAACCGCAAGCGTTATAACCGGAGTTCGATGGTTGGCCGAAAAGCACATTTATACACTGTCAGACTACAAATAGTTCTGCAAACATCTCCAATTCAAATGTTACAGCAATATTTTAGTTGAATATGAACACAAAAAAAAACAAAACGCTTATGAATGGCATCGAGTACATGAGCATAGGTAGGTATGTGTTGTTCTTTTGCTATACTCGGATACCGACTCACTCATCTACCGAACATATGTTCTCAAAATGTGGACCTGGAATAGCGGCTACTTATCGTACAAAGAACTTTCCAATCAACTAATTTCTTCAGATTTTTTTTATTATAATGATTTTCCCTTGATTTGCAGTTTTGCTATACTCGGATACCGACTCGCACATCTACAGAACAAATATTTCCAATATGTGGACCTGGGATAGCGATTGCTGTTCTTGGTTGTTAACTCTGATGGTATTGATAGAAGCTTATTGTAGAGATACCTTCCCACTCAATTATTTTTTTTAGTTTTTTCTTTATGATAATTCTTTTTCTTTGATTTGCAGTTTTGCTATACTCGGATACCGACTCACTCATCTAACGAACATATGTTCCCAATATGTGGACCTGGAATAGCGGACTGCTTGTTCTTAGTTGTTAATGCCAATAGAATTAATAGAAACTTATCGTACAAAGACCTTTCCAATCATCTAATTTCTTCAGGTTTTTTTATTATAATGATTTTCCCTTGATTTGCAGTTTTGCTATACTCGGATACCGACTCACTCATCTACAGAACAAATGTTTCCAATAGGTGGACCTGGAATAGCGGTTGCTGTTCTTAGTTGTTAACTCTAATAGTATTGATAGAAACTTATTGTACAGGGACCATTCCACTCAATTGATTTTTACAGTTGTTTCTTTATGATAAAGACTTTTCCTTGATTCGCAGTTTTGCTATACTCGGATACCGACTCACTCATCTACAGAACAAATGTTTCAAATATGTGGACCTTGAATAGCGGATAGCTTGTTCTTAGTTGTTAAAGTCAATAGTAATAATAGAAACGTATCGTCTATTTCTTGAACTTTTTTCTTTAATACAATGATTTTGAAAATTATAATTAATTTAACGTAACAGTGACTTATATGGTTCTGATTTGAATATGTGCAGGGTACTTTAAAAGAGGTATATAGTTTTAGTATCGCTATGCTTACCAAGAGTGTGTTACGCATCTCAGGGGAACGTTCAGCTGCCTCCATATCATCTACGTTGAGGTATGATATGGAGGCAGGAAAATATTTTTAACAAATGATACTTGTCGTTCTGCAAGTGGATTCACAGCAGTAGTTTGCGTTGAAGCGTATTCATGGGTATGTATTTTGCAAATGGTTGGATATCTTTTATGTTAAGCGTCATCTACCTGTTTAGAGCGAACCCGCAGATATGTAGCTTATAACATTGACATAAAGAAGGTCACTAATTATAGCAAAATATGTAGATAATAGATTTCTCAATGTGCAATAATTTGAATTGCAGATGTCCATAGAACCATCCATTGAACATATCTGACAGTATTTGCAGCGCGCTGTTAACAGTGTTTACCTTGCACGCATCCATATTTCGGATCCGACTTAAACCCTGCCGGACAGAACTTGCAAACTGGCCTGTGATCTTCTACGTGACACGGTGAATTTTCTGGACAATTGGCCATCAGACAAGGATCTTCGCATCTGAACGCTCTGCAAGCTTGGTCTTGTGGACAACCGTTATCTCTCAAGCAAATCGATAAGGATGGCGTACAGTTCTTCAAACATATGCAAATCGGTTTGTGGTTTAGCACGTCGCACCCTTTATCAGGCGAGCACGGCGATTTGATAACCTCAGTGCAAGGATTTTTGCAAAAACCGTATATGCAGGTCTTGTTCGACGGGCATTCGTCGTCATTATTGCATTCAGCTTGGTCAGGAGCGCAAGATATCTCTCCGTTCTCATTCATTTTGAAACCTTTCTTGCAAACACATGCTGGTCTGTGATGGTGTACCTCGCATTTTTTGTTATCTCTGCATTTGAATGTCGCATGCTCACAAGGATCGAAGCATTCTCCTGTTGCTGTATTGCAAGCCAGCTCATCGTTGCAGTCATAATCCGATCGACAAAATATCTTCGTGGCAGGTCTACCTTGCGTGGCCAAGCATTGATGGTCAGGGTGACAGGAAGTACCGGCCATGCCGGTGTGACATTCAGGACACGTGCACCTTGGTCTGTGAGAAACGGTTTCGCAAAGAGCGTTCAGTCCACAAGCGCCTCTCAGCGAGCACGGATCGATACATTGGAAGTTGATGCAAGCTTTCTCATTTGGACACTCTAAGTCAGAGTTACATTCGGCAGCTACGTAGGAAACATCGAGGGGCAAGAAAAAGAAAGCAATACTTAAGACAACACCAAGAGGATAGAGGTCGGTACTCATTATCGCAAATACACTATAATACGCATGCGGGCGTGGCTGTAGTACGGTGATTTTAGTACATATCTTACATGTATCAGCTTGTTGTATAAGGCTCCGCTAAGAGAAGATCGAACTGTTCTGATGAATTGAATACAGTTTCATGGAAGATGGAATAATCAAACGCCTACTGACATTTGACATACGGTATACTGATTTAGTCTGGGAGTGATTGCTAAATATTATATATTGGAATAACTATAGATGCATAATCGTTGATATTTCATTCAAAAATGCTAGGCTATGTTTATGAGTGTGTTAAAATATATAGCAACATGAAAATGTGATAGGTGACAGATTGAAAATAAAATGAATTAGATACATGTTGAAACCAGAATATTTACGCTTTATGGTAAGAAGCCTTATACTCGTATTATTGGATTGAGGCCGCCATCTTGGAAAACGCAAATATTTCATAACTATTGGGTAATTCCAGCGAAAACGTATATGGATAATTTAATAACCGTTCTTTTTTATTTATCGTATATACATGTTATTATTTCTAATATGTTTGTATTTATATTTGTTCAATCTTGAGTTGAAAGATAAAGGGCCACTATTTATGCTTAGGTGGAAAAGCGCAAGCAGTTGGTCTGAGGTATAACACACAATTACTCGATACTAATAAAAACGTTAACTATTTTTTTACTTTCCCTAATAGTTCTCATGTTTGTAACCTCTTCCGATACATATTGAAAACATGAAAATTGACAAGCTAGTTTTGGAGAACCTATAGTTTCTGATATATTGTTTCCCAATATGGCGATCGGAAGCCTACAGCTCAACTAATAGCTCACTGCCATTGAAAAAATTTATATACTGTTGGTATGTTTCCACTTCACTGGAGTAACAAGGGACCGTTTAACCACCGTACTACACAGAACAGTCAGAGTGAGTAAAAGAAATGAAAGAGGCCATCTCAACAGGGACAACGAGCACCGAAACAAGCATCGGCGGCAGTATATTTACACAAGCTGCTTAATAAAGGCAATGCAGGCAATGTATATAAATAAAATTGCTAATATACAGTAGTATCGATGTGAGAATGCTCCTTTCATAGTTCCCAATCTGACTAATCATGCCTAGTATAACCCGCTGCGTTTGATATCACACAGCGCGTCATGCGCTAAGTTGTTGCTTATTTGCGATACTTTTCGATATCACTTGACCGTACTCGTAACCGTAAAATGTGTTTCAAACTAGCTCTGTCAAGCATCTGTGCCTCTAAATTAAATTTGGACGATCTAACTACCCCAGGGCTATCTAAAGATGAGGTTGTTGTTTGCAAACCTCATGACATATGGCTTAAATGGAGTGTGTGAATGAGGTGTAAGATTGGAATATGTGTAAATGTGTAACCTGTCAAACGAGGTGACATCAGACTAATTAGTCATATATTATAATTCAGCAACAACTTGTCTTGTTCCTTTTTACACAAATGATAAAATTAAATGGGGTTATGCTTTTTCTTTCAGGCACGTCAGATTCCATATATTGAGTATTAACGTATATAATACAAAAACTAATGCTCAAATTATAATTATTTATATTATAATTTTTTGATTCAGTCGAATCCTATAACAGAACAACTTGAGGTAACTATGAAACACATTCTTCGGTCGAGGACAATATAATGAAAATGCCACCATTTTGAGACAAATGAGAGTAACTCAGTTGTGTGGAATGTGTGAAAAGAATGAGTATGAATCGTGTGACAGGCAGATTGGAACCCTGAGAGTGTACATTCCACATGACGAGCTCTTGGTACACATCATCATCGTCATCATCATCATCTTGCAGGATATTATTTACAATAACTTATGCATATACATTTATAGAACATCGAAGTCTTGTTGATATACCTGGTGATCGTTTCATGCAAGTCTCAATAAGTGATAGCTGAAGTTTGTAAACGTGCAAGTCATTCTTGTGAAGTATACCGAATAATAAATGAATTTATACTAAGTGACATATACATCCGAACACCCAGTATAAATGGTTTTATTTTAATAAAAGTTGGTGAATGAATTTTTATCTTACTGTAAATAACAAGAGAAAAAATTTTCAGCCTTATCAGTTGGACATTCTGGTTTTTATACTGCTTTTTTTTAATTCACTAACGCTCTAAAAATGAATATTTCAGCCGCAGTAAAGAATCAACGTTGGCGGATTTTGGTTCTTGACATCCTTTACAATCGGTTACGATGCCTAGAGTACGGAGACCTGTACGATTTCGTCAACTTAGTGAGTTTGATAGGGGCCGTATAGTGGGACTTCGGGAAGCTGGACTTTCTTTTCGGGCAATTGTAGTTAGAGTGCAAAGAAGTGTAGACACTGTGGTTAGGTGTTGTCAGGCATGGCTTCGAGAAGGCCGTACGCAAAGAGCAAGGGGCACTGGACGCCGCCGTAGAACAACAGACCGTGAATATCGCCGCCTAAGATTATTGGCCTTAAGGGACCGTTTCTCCACTACCAGGTCCATTGCAAATGAATGGTTTGCAGAACACGGAAGACCTATTGGCATGCGAAGTGTTTACCGACGAATGAGAAGTTTTGGCTTGTTTTCATACCGGCCACACTGGGTCCTCCCTTTAACTCGAGAACACCGACGTAATAGCCTTGAGTGGTGCAGACAATGATCACTCTGGGATCAGGAATGGAACAGTATTGTCTTTAGTGACGAGTCTCGATTTTGTTTAGGCATGCACGATGGTCGTGCCAGGGTTAGAAGGCGACGTGGTGAAAGGAGGAATCCACAGTTTTTTGTTGAAAGACATGTTCATCACACTTTTGGAGTTATGGTTTGGGGTGCTATAGCTTATGGTTCCAGGTCACCTTTAATCTTCATCAGAGGTAACATGAACGCGCAGCGTTATATCCACGAAGTTCTAGAACCCCATCTTTTACCCTATCTTGACACCCTGGCAGATCCAACTTTCCAACAAGATAATGCCCGACCACATGTTGCAAGAGTCACAATAGACTTCTTTCAACATAATGATGTCACATTGTTACCATGGCCACCAAGATCTCCCGACTTATCACCAATTGAGCACGTGTGGGATATGATGGGTAGGAGATTGCTCAACTTGCAACGTCCTCCTCAGACTCTAGAAGCACTTCGAGAGGAGTTGGTGGTTGCCTGGAATGAGATACCACAGGAGGACATTGACCACCTGATCAGAAGCATGCCTAGGCGCGTTGGAGAATGCGTAGCACATCAGGGTGCATCCACACATTATTAAAGGTCAAAGGGCTTTAAAGCAGCGCAATCATTTTGAAATTTGTATCATTTACTTATTATGCTTCATTAAGTACTTATACAAAATTTTATTAAAATAAAACCATTTAAACTGGGTGTTTGGATTTATATGTCACTTAGTATATTTATAAAAGGCGGTTGTTCATTATGATTTTGTTGAAAAATAACAAATCATGTCAGATTATCCACCATCAAGTGGAATGATTATATTCGATTCAAACTTTCAAAGATTGATCTGCCTTGGTGATTTTATCGGTTGAAATGAAATTTCCAAATAAACGATTTATATTATTGTGACTGTCCTGGCATCCCGTGTATCTTGATCGTAACAGTAATGAAAGGATCTGTAAATATGATTCGTCTTGTTGATCAAGCTTAAATAGAAATTTTTAGGTAATGTTGCACTACTCGATCACCATGTATCTATATAACAGACAAAATTGTAAGAACCGTGCATATCTTTTGTACAAAAATTGGAAATTGTGTATGCGTGTATTAAAACTGAAAACACTTATTGCTCATTCAGAATATTTGAGCACAAACAAAGCCTTTGTACTGTATACAACGTAATTACAATAAACAAAATGAATATTTGCTGCACATCACTTACGGCACTTTTTATTCATTATGGTTCAACTATATAATAAGCATTACTTTTAGATTGGAGGAAACTGCAACATCATTTTGATTGAATGATAAATTAAATCAAGTTAGAGAGCCAGTTTCTCTCCTCCATGTGACGTAGATGTGATAATTCCACTTAGTTATTTCCGTAAGTGAGAGTCAAGCAATTATTCATCTATCCATACTGGACACATACGATACGCCATCAAAATAATATAATCCATCTGACGATTGGTAGAGGCACTTACCTCTCTCGCAATCTTGTTCTGCGTTGCCTGTATAACCAGGCAGGCAACGGCAAACGAATAAGGCTTGTTCGCGGATACATTCTGCGTGCTTACCACAACCTTCGGTTCTGCAATCTACACTGCTGCGTTCTGATGAGCCTACAAAGGAAATACCAGATGAGTTATCATAGTTTTATACCGAAAAATCGTTCCTAAAATTGCAGCACGTTTTTAATAGACAAGATCCACGCTTCTTACTGAGATAGTATTAAGACCGACTTAAAGGTGTTATCAATCGCGAATCTGTCATCAGGACGGCTCCATAGTTCTCGGCCTGCAGAATTGGTACACACATTTTATCTCCCTAGACAAGTGAGCTTGAAGAAATTTTGTTAAGCTGATTTTTGAGCTGCCTAAAGGAGTGGTTGTATTGGCCAATTCTGGATGTACGAAGTTTGAATAGATGAGCGTTAAGATGCTTTTTATTCGTCAAGTGCAAGTTTGTATTGCATTTGTTGTATCATTTACTTTTAGTTTACTGATATACTACTCGTGCAACGGGAGATTAACTGCTCAACATAGGGCATAACAGTCATGAACACAAGCTATATGAATGAGATTTTACAGGGCACTTTGAATGTACCTTTTATTGCAGAGACGAACAGTTTATCTTGGCGTAAGTCTTTCGCCACAGATGGCGACCAATAAGGCATTCCGTACTTTACTTTAATTGCTAAAGGTATTAAGTTTTGCTTTTACGTGAAATTTTTCATGAACATATGATATCCAAGAAGGCCTCAACGCTTTTGCTATATTTTGTCTAAGCCAATACTACCGATCCCTAATATGTACAGGGTGACGGGAAAATAGATGCGGAGCCGGTGGAAGGAGATAGTACAAGCCAATCTGAGTCGATTTTACTATAGGAACTACTGTCCGAAAATAAGCCGTTTTTGAATTATACTAATTTTTAAGATTTCATAAAATTAACGTCCTTTATACGTTAACCAAGTCATAAAACTTGAAAATTGGGTGTTTCGTTTGACTTTTTTTTCACAATAAAAGTATCCTGCAAAATAATTTTAGTATATCCACGTTTCATTACCTTTCAAATGAGGTATCAAAGTCTGAAACCGGTTTAGAAATGACAAAGATATGAGTGAAAGAAACAGGTAGAGCCGCGAACATCGGACTTTGCCACCTGAATATTGTGATAAGTAAGACTAGTCACCCCCCTCCCTTCAATCTGCTCTTGCGATTTGTTGCGTTCGGTTGTGTTTGTTTGCTCGCTGTTTTGATATTTCTAATGACTTGGCTCTTGTTGGATTTCGGTGTGTGATTCTTTTCCTGACGACCTAGACCCTGTTTTCTGTGATTTCTTACGACTTGGCTGCTGTATGACTTGATTTTTCGTTGATCTACCTATCGATGAACAATGGCTGATGAACAAAGGAGGCGGCCGTTCAGCTTCCAGGAATATGTCGATATCCTTTTCTACTACGGAGATGCCAGACGCAATGCTGAAGAAGCTCGTCGTGAGTATGGGGAAATGTTTCCTAATCGTCGCCTACCTGACGCCCGCGTATTTAGGCAAACGTTTTGTCGGGTTCGAGAGCGCGGTACCGTCGTAAGATATCAAGGTAAGTTTGCATCATTGATAATTATTAACTTATCATAATCAGTCATTCAGTAAGGCCTATGTAGAGCCTTGGAGGTCTGTGGGCTGAACTGATGATACTGTAACATAGTTGTTTTGATACAGTTGATTGAACTTCTTAAGTAAGAGTTTATTCATTTAATTTTAACACGAGCATCTACACGGCTCTGAAGATGGAAACATCCACAAGTTATGGAATCCTGATGATTACCATTTCAACGGTACGGCTAACACCGTCCGGATGCCCTTGTGATTAGCGCCGTCCATCCGGTTTCTAGTTACAGCGTTAGGTGTTATCTTTGTGAGATCATTCCTGACTTTGCATTTTGCTATATTTTACTTCTTATAAACTCAATATGAAATGTAACTAGCGTTGTTGTCATCCTGTTTTCATCCAATAAAGTTCCTGCTATAGTTTCGAACCGAAACCACACTGAGTTTCATTTCTGGCGCTGCGAACAGGATCCCAGGCTTGGTTTCTGTCACCATTGTGAGAAATATCTAATAGACGAGCTGCCCAGCGGTGTCTCCGAGAAAGCCAAAGAGTGAGTTCCTGAGAAAACTGAAGTTAGTACCAGCGAAAGCCAAGAGTTAGTATCAGACGTCGGGAAGGCCCTCCTGTTCTACTTGGACTCTCCGAGTGCCAATATCAAGTAAGAATTTCTATTCTCTTACTAGGAATTCTACCAGAAACTGTCCAGAACCATTGATTTGGAATCGAAGACAATATGACCAGCCCCTGGATGAAGCAACAATTGATGTTACTGTCCTTGTAAGTAGTTAAGAATTACTATTAAGAAGATTTTGCAACTAAGAAGATTTAATACGTAACCATAAGAAGAATTTATCAAAAAACACATTTCTACAAAGAAGATTTTTACTGAAGAATCCAAGTTTGCGTTTTTCAATTGAAATCTAATTTTGTGCATAGCTTTAAGTTTTGTTTTCACCTATTTTTACTCATTTTTATCTTGCATCTTTTATACATTTTATTTTATGCCTTTTGTTAATCGTTTTGTGCCTACCGAAAGAGAAAGATCTCCTATAAGAATGGCTACTTCAAATCGACAGAATGTCGTTCAGCACGACAATCCTCAATTAATTTTTAACATGCTAAAAGATTCAATTCCTATAATTGATAGCTATCCAAACAATCTTTCTACATTTTTAAGAAAGTCTACAGAATTTTATAACACTTTACCTATTTCCTATAAGGGACATGCTTTAACATTTATTAAGTCTAGATTACAAGGTGAACTTGCCGAATTTACAGAATAAACTAATCCTATTACTATTGAACATCAGTCTTTGTTATCACACCAGACGATCCATCAGATCTCAATTATTACAAATTTGCAACGATTTAATTCATATCTAAATTCACTTTTATTAGTTCTACAATTGAACCAGCAAACAGGTCTCAACACCTTACAGTTATCTCATCATCAGATTACCTTACTTATTGAATATTTAAAATCCATTTATAAAGACGAAGAATTATTGCCATTCGACAAAATACATTTATTTGAGATTTATGATCTTTCCCTTTTATCACTTATACTTTTAGAAAACCAACTTATTTTTGTAGTTGAGTTTCCCATTTTAGATGTTAGAACTTATTCCTTATTCAAGTTATTTTCAATCACAGTCAAAAAAGAATTAGTAAAATTACCAAGTGATTATATTTTATACTTTGAAAAGTATTATTATTGCAAAAATATTATAGAGTTAAACAATCAGCTGTATGTTTGCACGAATACTTTCCAGTCGCCATGTCAACCACTTAAGTTAGACACTTGTGAGTCTGAAAGTCTAGTAAACTACACGCGAATCCTAGAATTAAGTAAGAACAATTATGTAATCGACACTAATGTTTTAACAAAAATCAAGGATTGTAAAGGAATCCATCATATTTATTTTACTACTCACATAATTTTAGAATTGCATACATTTATTAATGATCAAATATTAGAATTTGACTCTAATTATGAAATTGAATTAGAATTATCCTTCAGAGGTGACAACGATAAATATTCATTTAAGAAAACAAACACTTCACTCGAATCTTATTTCGAAAAAAATCTCACTTCACTTCAAGTTCATTTTGAAGATTTACAGTTTCATTCTACTATAAGTTATCCTGTTATTTTTACTACTGTAATTATTTTATTGGTTTTATTTATAACGATTTTTGTTAGATACCGTTATGTAAAGGATACTAAAACTCCACCTCAAAGTAGTGATATTTAAGAAACTTCTCCTTCAAATTAAAAGTTCAAATCATTTTTTGAGATTGGAGACCAATCTTTCCGATGAGGGAGGAGTTATGGAATCCTGATGATTACCGTCCCGATGCCCTTGTGATTAGCGCCTTCCATCCGGTTTCTAGTTACAGCGTTAGGTGTTATCTTTGTGAGAACGTTCCTGACTTTGCATTTTGCTATATTTTACTTCTTATAAACTGAATATGAAATGTAACTAGCGTTGTTGTCATCCTGTTTTCATCCAATAAAGTTCCTGCTATAGTTTCGAACCGAAACCACATTGAGTTTCATTTTGTTGTGAATCTTTTTTTCTAAATATGTTTTGCCAACTCTAGCTCATAGTCTTACCGCTATGTTTATTAGGTAACAATTTCCTCCAAAAAACTTATTTGTTTTTTCATTTCATTTCAGGTGATGCAGGTAGACCTCGACATGATGTGGAAGAAGAAGAAGAAATTTTAAATAGTTTCCGAAGAGACGCTACTCTCTCTACTCGCGCTGTGGCTCGACAGCTTGGATTATACCAATGGCAAGTGTGGTATGTTTTGCATGAAAACATATTCCACCCCTACCATTACACATCTCTGCATGTCATAGAGGAATGAGATCTCATGAGACCCATGCAATTTTGTCGTTTTATTTTAAACGCTGATGTTGAAGATAGCATTTATTTAAGAAAAAATCTATGGACCGACGAATCAAAATTTGATAAAGACGGCATAACAAACTACCCTAACGCTAACTATTGGCGTGATCGTGCAGTGGGAAATTCTCATATGAAGAGACCAAAAGGATCTCAAAGGCGATTTTGTCTGAATGTCTGGATGGGCATTATAAATAACTGTTTGGTAGGACTACATTTCCTACCCGACAACTTGAATGGAGAAGCCTACGAAAATTTCTTAAGAAATGTTCGACTTGAATTACTTGAAGACCGCTACACACAAGACACAGAATGATTTTTGAGCATGACAGGTGCCCAGCACATTTCAGACTAAGTGTTAGAAATTGGTTAAATGAGCAGTTTCCGAATCGATGGATCGGTAGAGGCGGACCAATCCCATTGGCCAGCACGTAGTCCCGATCTCACACCTATGGACTTTTTTGTGTGGGGTCGCATGAAAACTTTAGTATACTCTGATCAAAGTCCTGTACCCACAATAGAAGACCTCAGAAACAGGATAATACATGCAGCACAAGAAATTCAAGCTCTGTTAGGAATTCGGCGGTAGTAAAATCAGCTGTCATAAGAAGAGCACGTGTGTGCATTAGAAATAGAGCGAGCGATATTGAAAATGTATTATAAAAATAAAAAAAAAGGGTTGTCCAATAGGGACGCAGGAAAGTAAACGTCAATTTGACATAGACGCCATCTTTGTTTTCTGTCACCGACATGTCATTTTGTTAGTTGAATGTTTACCATTGATCACTATGGAGTCGTATTCGATTGAAGACCGCATTAAAGTTATTCAAGAGCACTACAAAAATGGTGCAAAAATAAAAAACACGTTTCGCGCGCTTCGTGAACATTTCGGTCGCAACAACCGCCCAAACGAAACAACCGTCGGTCGTCTGGTGCGTAAATTCAAGGCAACAGGTTCTGTGGCAAATCTGCCAGGCTCTGGCCGGCCAAGGAGCGATCGCACACCGGAAAATATTGCTGTTGTGAAGGAGAGTGTGAGAGACGATCCGAAACAATCAACAACGCGTCGATCTCAAGAATTGGGCATTTCGAGAACTAGTTTGCTCCGCATTCTCCACAAGGATTTGAATGTACATGCCTACCAGATCCAATTGACGCAAGAGCTGCGTCGGGCCGACCATTTTTCGCGACGAACGTTCTCAGATTGGCTCCTTGAACACCGCCAAATTGATGCCAATTTTTCATCAAAAATTATGTTCAGCGACGAAGCGCATTTCACTTGGAATGGGACGGTAAACAAACAAAACTGCCGCATCTGGGCGAACGAAAATCCCTGTGTGTACCAAGAGCAGCCGATGCATCCTCAAAAAGTGACTGTGTGGTGTGCATTGTGGTCAAAAGGAATCATCGGACCTTACTTTTTCGAAAATGCGGCCGGGGACGCCGTTACCGTCAATTCTGAGCGATATCACGTGATGATAGAGGACTATTCTTTGCCGCAACTTGAAGGAATGGATATGGACGATGTTTAGTTCCAACAAGACGGTACAACATGCCACACAACCAACGTCAATATCCATCGATTGCAGTCCTTCTTCGGTGATCGCGTGATTTCGCGCAGAGGAAATGTGCCATGGCCACCAAGATCGTGCGATTTGACTCCCTTGGACTTCTTTTTATGGGGATATTTGAAAGCAAAGTCTACGTCAACAAACCAGCCACCCTCCAAGAACTCAAAAACAACATCATTGCCGAGATAAATGTCATAGAACCGACCATGTTGCAAAATGTCATTGAAAATTTCGACCATCGCGTGGACGTCTGTAAATCCAGTCGTGGTGAACATTTGAGCGATATTATTTTTCATACATAAATGGTATAAATGAACCTTCAAAATAAAGTACCCAACTTGATTTGAATATCAATCTTTCTTGTTTTATATGCGTTTACGTTCCTGGGTCCGTTTTGGACAACTCCATAGTTTCAAACAAATGATCCTGTATTGAGGTATGATTTTGTAAGTGTAGTATTTTTATTGCTTTTTCCTTCCTCCTTTTGTAATAGTCATATTTTTGCCAATTCTTAATCGATTTGTGATTTTTATGCTTCATTTGAAAGGTAATGAAATGTAGATGTTTTCTAATTATTTTGTACGAAAAATTTGTATGCGACTTTTTCTAGTAAACTGAAGCTTTTGAGATGAACGAAGATTGTTTTAACAAAAATCGAACTATTTTGAAGCTTACTGCATAAGATAACGTCAATATTGTACATTTGAGTATCAATTTTCGTATTTTAGAATATTTTTATTATAAAACCAAAAAAAAAAAAATTAAAATGAAACAACCAATTTTCAAGTTTTATGACTTGGTTAACGTTAATTTTATAAAATGTTAAAAATTAGTATAATTCGAAAACGGCTAATTTTCGGACACTAGTTCCTACAGTAAAATCGACTCAGATTAACTTGTACTATCTCCTCCCACCGGCTCCGCATCTATTTTCCCGTCACCCTGTATATTGCCAAATCTTGTAAATTATAGCAGCCTATAATACAGCTAAACTCTCCTTAAACTCTTTCAACTGACGCAATCCAATATAACCGTTGTTGAACGCATGTACCTCATATAAGCTTTACAACGTTGAAACCAAGCCTATAATGCCTCATCGCTGTACAAGTTAATATTTGTTTAACTTACATTCAATGGTTGGATCACCAACGGGTTTCTCGGCCGGGCAATAACACTGCGCCTCTTTTCTGTTGACAACTCTGCACTTCGCACCAACGCCGCATAGCTTGTTCTTGCACAGGTTCACCAGTTCTTGTTCGCACTCACAACCCCTGTAGGGATCTCCAATACAGTTTTGAGGACAGGAACACTCATATCCTCCTGGTATGTCTTTGCATTTTGCGTTTGAGCCGCATGGGTTCTTTAGGCACTCTTCGTTCTTGGTTTGCTTGCATTCCACTTGGGCGTTGCCGATATAACCTGCAAGATATAATTCTTTCAGGAACTGCTTCCAGATATGTATGTCGGTTTTATGACAGCAACAAATTGGACAATCGAAATCGCTTTTCTTTGCGAGTTGTCGAGCCGGTGGAAATATTGAAGGCAATGAAAGATATCAAATCAAATGCAAAAGGAATTGACACTCTCTCACTAACCATGGTCAAAGTAAGTCTTCCCGTAACTTTTTTCCATATCACCCACATAATAAGCTCATGTTTGGAAAATGGCTACCACCGTAAGCTGTGGAAGCTGGCTCTAATTATACCTGTCCCTAAAATATCTAAACCTACTGAACTTAAACATCTTAGACCCATTAGTTTGTTGCCGGTGCTATCGAAAAATTTGGAAAAAATTATACAGCAACAAGTTGTCCATTACATAGAGGAACTTAAAATAATATCGTCATGTCAATCGGGCTTCAGGAAGCACTATAGTACCATCTCGGCACTGTTAGATCTTTGTGATAATGTTATTAGGGCAGTTGACAAAAAGTTAGCAACAGCAGTGGTATCAATTGACTATTCCAAAGCAGTCGATCGAATAATCATAAACTTTTGTGCGCCAAGCTGAGGTACATAGGCTTCGATGATGCTGCTGTCAGTTTTTTCCGTAGCTATTTGTCCGGTCGCACGCAATGTGTCGCAATCAATAACGATCAATCCAATATTACGACTATTCCGTCAGGAGTTCCGCAAGGCTCAATTTTGGGACCTGTGCTCTTTTTGATTTACACGTGTGACCTGCATAAAGCAGTTGACAATTCAGGGATACAAACATTTGCTGACGATACTCAAATAATATTTCATTTCGACGCCTCAGATACGCAAAATTCATCAGACATTTGACAACTTGATTTAGATATGGTACATCAGTTTTCTATGAAACATAATCTTGCTATTAATCCAGATAAGACACAAGTGTTATTGTTTTGTTCTGATCAGAAGAGGAAAACTGTCGAAGAGTCTTTCCATCTGACTATTGATGGCATAACATCACAGCATACTCAAACAGCTAAGGTACTAGGAGTGGAAATTGTCACAAAATTAAGATTCCGCAGCCAAATAGCTAATTTGATGAAAAAAACTTACCTGTGTTCTAGGGCTCTTTATTCCAATCGCTACTTGCTTAACTTTAAGCTGAGAAAAAAACTGTGCGAATCTTTGATGTCGTTTATTATCCATGTTTCAATTGAGCAAAAATCGTCTTCAAATCATCCAAAATAACTTTGTTCGCTTTACTTATGGGTTGCGTAAATACGATCACGTAAGTGATAAATATAGGGAATTGAACTGGCTTAGGTTAGGAAGTTTGGTTAAACATAAATTCTTAGTTTTAGTTCATAAAATAATATTGTCATCAAAGCCTGAATATCTAAGAGCTAAGTTAAGATTTAATTACGAAGTGCATGACAGGGCTGTTAGGAATCGTTATAGTATCAGAACCACCCCACACACTTCTGCATTATTCCAACGAGGATTTACATATAATGCAGCACTATTTTATAATCAGTTGGACAACAGTATTAAATTGATGTCTTTTCGTAAACATACTAAAAGCATGTTGCTCGCTATTGATTAAATAAGCATTTCTGCTACAGATATAGATTGTGTCTATTTGTATTTTATACTTAGGTATATATGTGTTCTTTTTTTCATTGTTCTTATATTTTTTTCCATGTTTTGAACATCAGATGTAACCGACGTAAACAGTTAAGTGTAAGAGTAGCCTGGGCTAAACTTCGCTGTTTATGTCCCTCCGGGTTATCCAATAAAGACGTTATTATTATTATTATTATTATTATTATTATTATTATTATTATTATTATATTCCACTCATAACAATTTTGCTGACTATTTACTAGAGATGCTAACAAATTATACCGTCAGTAATATTTTGGCGGTCGTTTAAAAGGAGATGCTTGTTCTGGTAAATGATTGATACTCTTTGTGCTGGAGGACGGACTTAACTAATGATTCGACTAGCTCAATAGTTCTTTCCAAGGTGAAAATGGCGAAAAGAATACAATTTTGGAGATTGAAGTTGTGGTCTATTGACCATTTGGAGTCTTACCTGGAGGGCATGAGCATAGAGGTTTGCGGTCAACGACACGACATTGAGCATTCGCACCACATGCGTTGTGTTCAAGGCAGGGATTACGGCACACCTTATCCAAACCGCACTTCTTGTTCGATTCACAGTCTTCGTCTTTGCTGCATTCGTATTGTTCGCAAAGCTTTGCTGGATCGCCTTGATAACCATCGGGGCATAAACATACCTATAAAAAAATTATTCATTTACCAACCTGCTAAAGTAAAATAATATCTTAATAAATTTTATTGATTCATACAAAAATATATCGACGATTTGTTTGACACGTATACTAGTAGACTGCAGACCGCTTAACGGGGGTGATGAAGCTTTTTACACACAACTTATCCAACAAATTTTAACCACATATGCACTGTTACGAAAGAAGTTGATTTCTCGAAAAGAAAAATGTAATAAAACCTGCGTTTCAATAATAAATTGAAAAGTGAATATCTGTATTTTGCGTTCATCGTCGTGATATTAGAACACGCATTAATAATCTATTATAGCAAATGTTGTACCAAACAACAAAATGCCAGGAATTTTTTGTTTTTTCGTACTGGTAAGAATGTGTAGATAAGGTTTAATCTGTATCGTGGATGATCTGAATGAAGTGCGGTTGATTTTTGTGAAGTTAAATAAGAAATTACTTTGCGAATTCATGTTTTTAGTTATTTATTAATAAAAATGGCACATGTGTAGACTAATGAGGAGTTGGTGGACATTGTTTTAGCGTACGGCGAAGCAGGGCAAAATTCGCGAGCATATTCTCGTTTGTATGCATACCGATTTCCAAATAGGCACATACCACATCACAAAACATTTAGTCCAATTGTTTTACGTGCACATGCTAGTGGAGATTTGTGGAAAGGATGGGGGCCGGGTTCGCCCACAACTCGTTTTAAATGCCGAAGACGAACTTTTGGATATTGTAAAAAAAATCCGGGAATAAGCACAAGGCAGTTAGCCCAACAACTCCCAGACGTGTCACAGCGTGGCGCATATTACCTATTATTTTATTATCTCGATTTCTGTAGGACTTTTATGGCATGTTTTTAGAAATCAACATTTGTCAGATAAGTTGTGAAACACCCAGTATACACTACCAACGAAATAGTGTAATACGGAATTTCGAGTCGTTTTTTGAACCTGAAATTGATGTCACCTTTTCGTCGACGAGACAACTATTTTCTGTATACATAGGCAGGAGATTGTGAAGTTGCTACTTTGTGTACCATAGTAGCGATGGATGCGTAATCATTTTAGCTCAAATATTTTTGCTGAAGTTGAATTACAGTTTTTTAGGTTGTAAATAAATCTACAACTACTATTTTGGACCTTTCGTAACCGACTTTTGGAAGCAGCATCTGGGCATGGATAGTAAACAGCATTACGATAAACAAAAATATGAAATATGGCAAGTATACATAGTTTTTTCCGCGTTTTAAAATCGATAAGGTGCCTGCTACAAAATAAAATTGCTTCAAAACGCAGCGGCATTTTTTTCATAGTAATTGAGACAAGCTCCACCAATATTGCTATTTAGTTGCTGTGTTAGGTTTTCACGGCTGTTATTGGAACATAAAAGCACAACAAAACATTAAGAAGAATTTAATTTCAAATTATTTGTATTATAGTGAATTAGTATTTTTCAGATGTATCATTGAGTTGCTTGTGAAACGTTACATGGTGGGAAATACTCTAATAAGTGAGTGTCATCAGCGTGGAAAATGGATATCTGATGTATAAATCAGAAAAAATGTGGGGCTAAGAACGGAACCATGTGGCACACCGGACGTCACGAAACATAGTTCAGATAATTTAACATCCACCGATACTACTATACAGGGTGGCGCATCGAAAACGAAACAGACGCATTTACTGGCAGCTCAGTTTTTTTTTTAAAAACGCTCAGACCCGTCGATTTTGTTTTCGAGGGGGACACCACATTCACAATTCTTTGTCGCAGGTCTTCTAATGATGTTGGCTGAGTAGCATAGATTTTGCTTTTTAAATGACCCCACATAAAGACATCTAAAGATGATAAATCTGGCGATCTTGGGGGCCATTCAATGGCACCTCTTCTACCAATTCATCGATCTGGAAACGTCTGATCTAAATATTGTCGAACACGCAATGCGTAATGTGGTGAGGCACCATCCTGTTGGAACATCAACCTATTCGCAATGTACCGCCGATCATTCTGATTTTCAATTATGGTTGTTAACGCAGGATCTATCGCGTCTTCCAGTAATTCCAAATACATTTCACCGGTCAAATTTCCAGATAAGAAAAAATGACCAACTAAATGATCGCCCAAAAATACCAGCTCAAACATTTAATTTTTGTGGCTGCTGTATATGAACATCATGATAAATTCTGGGATTGCAATCGAACCAATATCGGCAGTTATGACGATTTACTACGCCATTTAAGAAAAAGAAACATTCGTCGGAAAAGCAAGTGTTGAATAGAAAATGTTCATCGTTTATAATTCGTTCACTCATATCTTCACAAAATTGTAATCGCCGATCAAAATCGTCTTCATTAAGTTCTTGTGCCAGGTGAATTTTATACGGATGAAAACTATGGGCCTTTAGAATCCGTTGGACAGTACGTCGACTAACACCACACACAGTCTCCAATTTGCGGGTACTGAACGTAGGATCTACATAAACTTGCCCTAAAACCCCCACTTCTATTGCTTCGTTCGTTATGGGATTTTCAATGTTGCGTTTTTTATTGGCGACTGACCCAGTTTCCCGAAATTTAGCTACATGCTCTAGAACATATTTTCGATGCACGTTACTGTTCATGTCGCTCATTAAATATTTCTGCTGTTCTATTAGCGCACTGATTATTTCCGAAAAATATTTCAATAACTTCAACTCTGTCTGCTGTGGAATATACCATGGTTAATTTATGTAATAAAGCGTTACAAGTTATTTTAGCAACAAAGTTTGGTCAAATAAATCGCAAACTATGTACTAAATTCCTATTTAAAATAAGTACGAGATATTTTCTTATCTTTCTTCAAGAAATAACTTTTTTGCCACAAAAAAACGCTCCAATAGCTATTTTCAACAATAAAATGATAAACAAACCATGGGCGTAGTCAAGAAAAGCATTTTCTTATTAAGTAAATTCCTTTAGTCAAATTTCTTCTGAAAGTAGTACAAACTAATCTGATGTAGATACCTATTAAAGTCTACTTTAAGTATTAAATCAATAAATCTTCAAAACTACTGAACGGAACCGCATGTATTTTACATCATTATAAAAGGAATTGAAACACCTTTAAAATAAGGTATCACTCGACACCCTTTTAAGATTTTAGGGTTGGTGTCACCCCCGCCCAGGGGGCTGCACGTGCTAACGTGATTTTTTGCCAAACTTGTGTCCCTTTCGAAAACAAAATCGACGGGTCTGAGCGTTTTTCCAAAAAAACTGAGCTGCCAGTAAGAGCGTCTGTCTCATTTTCGATGCGCCACCCTGTATATACATAGTAAAGTCCTGAGTTGCTTGTGAAACGTTACATGGTGGGAAATACTCTAATAATTGAGTATCATCAGCATGGAAAATGGATATCCGATGTATAAATAAAAAAAAAATATGTTGCTAAGAACGGAACCATGTGGCACACCAGACGTGACGAAACATTGTTCAGATAATTTAACATCCACAGATACTACTAAATGTACATAGTTATTTGCAACTTTTACATTCGCATATATTTGTGCAATTCTGGTAACATATTTTATTTTGGTTTACTTATTTTTATCTAATATAGTTCTCATAGTTTTATTTTGTAGGACTTTTAATTCTGTGAATACAGTTTCATTGGTAGTGAACAAGATAGTTGAACAATATAGTAAATGTGGTAGAATAATGTAGTATAAACTTTTGAAATATGTTCTACGTCTTTGAGAAGAGCTCTTAAAGTATTTTGTTTTTTTGGCAATTTTTGAAATAATGTTTTCATTGTGATGCTCAAACTTTAGTTAACTATCAATGTGTATACCTAAATATTTAATTAATTATACTTTCCTAATTATTCCATTATTTATCCTAAATATGATCGTATTTTCACTTAAGTGTTACGCTATTGGCATATATTTTGTTTTAGAAGCATTCAGTGTTCGTTTATTTACGCTTAAGCAATTTATGGTTCTTGCCAAGTCAAAATATAGCGTCTTTAAAGCAGTGCCTGTATTTCCATCTGATATGAATTTAGTATGATCTACAAATGTCTGAGTTATACGAGTTATATTAATGTATAAAATAAATAGTAGTGGACCTAGTTAACTACCTTGCGGTACTCCAACAGAAATATGTTTCGAGCTTGATAATGTAGATCCAATTTTCTTTTTTGATATCTAAGAATTAAATAGCTTAGTAGAATTCTGATTACAGATCCATTGAATCCATAGTGATGCAATTTTGCAATTCTCTAAGTAATTTATCCCTGACAATAGTTTCAAACGCACCCAAAGACACTATGTTTCCTATTATCCATATAACTTCCCCATTCATCTAAAAGCCTTTTTTGTTGAGTGTTTCTTCTCAAATCCAGCTTGAATTTTCATTGAAATCGTTTTTTCCTCCATGAATTTGATGATATGTTCGTAAATAATTTCTTCAAATACTTTTTCATCATCTGCCAGAATATTGACAGCAACTCAAAGTTCTTAACTTACGAAACAGGACTCGCAACACATATCGAGTATCTTCTCTTCCACTAAGAATGTACTCACCTTCCTATGATCCGCAGCCTGACACAGCGCACTCTTCCCACAAGCATTCTTCTGCGCGCACGGATCTTGACATTTCCTGTTCTTGCAATACTCCGCATTGGGACAGTCGTTATTCGACTTGCAACCCGGCAAACAAGCGCCGCGAGTGCAAAGTTGACCTTGAGCGCACTGACTCTGCGATGTGCACTTGTTCCTGCACTTCCCTGCGACGCAGGTCTCTCCACACGAACATTCTGACATTGCTGAGCAAGACTTCGTGCAGTACCCGACCTCGTCACATTCGCAGCTGGGATTGCACCTAGTTGCTACTTGCGTGCAAGCGACCAACGGGTTGCCGAGGAAATTGATGGGACAGCTGCATTGGGCTACGTGATTGTTCACTGTGCAGTTAGCGCAGGTGCCGCAGGTTGTGGAAGCGCCACAAGGGTCTGGGAAGGAAGAAGAGGTTCATTAGAATCCATAATCATCGTAAACACCAAAGCATAGACGATTTGAAGTTGATTAGTAGTAGTAGTAGTAGAAAGATTTATTTAGCACATTTGGCTACATAAACAGAATAATTGTAAACAACTTAGAACTAGTAAGTTCAAACCATATGGTGTATGATGTAAATGCTGGGCAACCTATAATTGTAGATTTAACAAGTGATTTCTCAATTTTACTTTAAATATTGTCAAAGTTTTCTGGTCTTTTATCTCTGAGTATAATTTATTATACTCAATCAACCCTTGATGGAATACAGATTTGTAGCATATGTTATACTTTTTGGTCATTAAATGGAAGTCAACTTTATTTCTGGTATTATGTAAATGATGGTCGACATTTGATGATGTTAAATTAGTTAGACTTGATGGAAATATATTATTTTTTACTTTATAAATGAATATCATTACAAGATATTTGATAAACTTTTTTACATTGAGCCATTTTAATTTGCTAAGCATTTGCCTAATTGGAGTATATTTATCTTTATTTAGTATTATTCTCATGCACTTATTTTGTAAAATTTGCAGTCTTTCAAAAATAGAATTAGTTGCTAAACATAGAATAGTCGAACAGTACAAGAAATTTGGAAGGATGATGGTATTATAGATAATTTTTCTGCTATTTTCTACGATAAACAAATCGATAATAAAAGGTTCGACAGTGTAAAGATGTGAAAGACTTTAACAAGACTGATCAATTCGAAACCGCATGATTGTGTAAATCAAGTTCAATTCGAAAACGGTATCGAAACAAATTCTTTGGTGATTGCAAACAAACTAAATGAATATCTTGTGGAAAGTATTGTTGATATTGTGGGTACTGGCATTGATGCACCTGACTATATGAAAATCAGTTTCCAGGGAGAAATGTTGCATACACTTTCAAAATTTCATAGCGTATCATTGAATTATCTAAGAAAAAAAGTAAACAGTTTAAAATCAAATAACAGCTGTGCCGAAATCACTACTAAAAACGTGCTGAAATACTGTTTCGAAATTTTGGGATATCCTGTATTAAATTGGATCAATTGTTCACTGAGAAGCAGTTCTTTCCCTGAAAAATTGAAATGCTCTACAATAACACCAGTTCCCAAAATAAATAATTGTAAAAGATGCAGCGATATGAGACCAGTAAATGTGTTACCAGACATTGAAAAATTATTAGAGTCCATAGTGCATGACCAATTAATGCAGTTTATAGAAGAAAACAAAATTTTAGTGGAGGCGCAAGCAGGCTTTCGAAAAAAATATTCCACAGAAACGGCTTTCCAGTTGGTAACTGAGAATTGGAGAAGAGCCATAGACTCAGAAGAAGTTGTCATAGCAGTATTTTTGGAATTGAAGAGGACATTTGAAACGATTGATAGAGATATTTTGTTAGGTAAATTGAAGGCATATGGTATATCAGGAAGTGTTTTAGGTTGGTTTAGAAATTATTTGTCAAAGGATGCAAGTTACAAATGTTAATGATACTATTTCATCAAAAATTGAAAATACGGGTGTTCCACAGGGCAGTATCCTGGGACCACTTCTTTTTATTTTATACATAAATGATTTACCTGCCGTAGTCAAAAAATGCAAAATTCAGATTTTAATGGTTAGCATCTAACAGACTCAAATTAAATAGAAGTAAAACGAAAGTTATGTTAATCGGAAAAAACAATGTACAAATGTTCAACTGAATATTGATGGTGAAGATACTGAATTCGTAGAAAATTTTAAATACCTGGGGTTTTTGTTGACTCGATTAATTTTTGGTAAGTATTCATTATGAAAAAGTTATAAATAAGATAACTAGTAAAGTGGGATATTTATCAAGAGTTTCTGGATGTCTGAGTTCATATAGCAGAAAAATTATCTATAATACCATCATTCTTCCAAATTTCTTGTACTGTTCGACTATTCTATATTTAGCAAATAATTGCATTTTTGAAAGACTGCAAATTTTACAAAACAAGTGCATGAGAATAATACTGAATAAAGATAAATATACTCCAATTAGAAAAATGCTTAGCAAATTAAAATCGCTCACTGTAAAAAATTGTATCAAATATCTTGTAATGATATTCATTTATAAAGTAAAAATAATATTATATTTCCATCAAGTCTAACTAATTTAACATCATCAAATGCCGACCAATACCAGAAATAAAGATGACTTCCATTTAATGAACAAAAAGTATAACAATGCTACAAATCTGTATTCCATCAAGGAGTGATTGAATATAATAAATTATACACAGAGATAAAAGACCAGAAAGCTTTGACAAAATTTAAAGTAAAATTGAGGAATCACTTGTTAAATGTGCAATTGTAGCTTGCCCAGCATTTACATCATACATCATATGACTTGAATTTACTAATTCTAAGATTACTATTAATGGTAGTCTATTTCCAGCATCTCAGTGTGGATCAAGTTTATCAATGAAAAGCTACCCGAGCTTTTGCGTTTTCTGAATTCTCGAGGAACTCGAGCCAGATGTATTCCAGCAGAAGCATGTGAAAATTAACTCGCCCAGCAACTGATCTTGTAAGGATTATGATCACGATAAGCGTAACACCTTTCAACACCTTTGTACAAAACAAGGTGTTTTAACGAAATATTTCTTTTAGTGTAGGTACTGATTCTCCGAGGTTTTGGTATACACATTCACCATTCTTTTAAATCAGACAAATACGCGCTTATTAAAACTAATCATAGGATTGCTCTGGTCTCATGGACACATTTGTTGGATAGCCAAGAAATATATTATACTGAATTTTTATACAAATTCTTCTGGATCCCATTTTCCATAGTATGTTTTGTGGCTTGTCATTTCCTTGAACGACAGTCCAAGTATTCATATAACCAAGGATAAGATACATGTTTCTTAAGCTGACATTTTATGTTGTTACAAAGTATGTAGCTTCAGCTGTTCAGGGTTTACGTTTTACTTTCAAATGTATCCAGGGTAAAATGCCATCAAAAGTTATCCTGGAAACCAACGAACTATGATAAACTATGATACTTACTCGTGCATTTGTTGTTGATACAAGCTTGGTCTGAGGCACAGACTGAGTCGCTTCGGCAGCCTATTTCACAGATTCTGTTCTCGCATATTTGAGTTGGACCACAGGAAGCGTCAGAGTTACACACTGTCTTACAAACTCCTTTGATGCACCTTTCGTCTGCCAGACAGCTGTGATCACTGCAAAATAAAAATATATAACGTGAATGAACAAAGCTATAGACAAAAAAGTGTCAACGTTGGTGGTTGTTAACATTTGATGCCTTATAAATACTGAAATTCACATAACGAGTGAAATCAGTTTATTACGGAGTGAAAGTTTAAATAAAGGCCGTTTCCATGAGTTTTTAATAATGGATAGGATAGCTTCAAAACTGTTTAAGACTTACTCAACTATCAAAAATCTAATTCCAGATCAACAATATCGATTTAGAGAGGGATACAGCACTTCTGTCGATAAATGATGACATCATCACTGCTTTTGATGAATGTTATGCTACACTTTTATTACTGATTACTCATTGACTATTCAAAAGCTTTCGATACAATTAACCACGAACTCTTATTATCAAAATTGCATTATTTAGGACTTTCCGAAGAGACTGTGAGTTGTTTTCGGCACTATTCAATTGGTAGAAGTCAAAAAGTTTCATTAGGCGACAAATTTTCATCACTAGAGCTTACAAAGTATGGAGTACCACAAGGTTCTGTTTTAGGGCCACTGCTATTCACATTATTCATCTCAAATTTAGCCAAAGTTGTTCAAAACTGTAAAATAATGACCTACGCCGATGATATCCACTTCTGACTTATAAACAAAGATCTAGAAGTAATCAGTGATTATGCAAAAGGCAATGCTCGTAAATTGAATGATGAAAACCCAAATGACTTTATTCGGAAATCCCAGTTCTGAAGCAAGAGGTGCAAATTTGCATCAAATTCTTCTATATGCCAACCAAAACATTTTGATCAAGTTTTTCAAGAACATTTTATGTGATAGGATAGTTAATTCCAATTTTTTTATTCTATAATTAGTCGAGGCTAAAATTCACCCATTTATAATGCATCATTATAAAAAAGTCGTTTATTATGATTATTATTCACTGTTTTTACAGCATCTTTACGCTGGTATACCTGAGTTTCAGAATATTAGTGAATATTTTCTTAACCAAAGGGAAAATGGTATTTATTCCGGTTATAGAAATCTACGTGCTATATGGCGTGTGTTCAGTATTACTGTATTCTATATTTGTAGGTAAATATCAGTCTCCAGTACTAGCTTTTTGAAGGATTTATAATAATAATAATCATTTTCTTCGTCTACGTGATATTTTTTTAGGTGTAAGAATAAGTAAAATACAATGCATGTTGATATAATCAAATCAGATACTTACGTTCGACACACTCCTTGGCATGTTCCAGCTACGCATGTTTGTCCTGCCAAACACTCCTGTTCAACAAGACACTGCCTTAGAGGGTATTTGCAGGTTTCCAATGGATCACCCACCAGAGGTTCAGGACAGACGCACTGCTTCTTGTGCTCCACCATTTGGCATAGAGCGTTTGTTCCACAAGCTATGGATAAAAACAAAGTTGTTAATTATAAATAACGATCTCTTCAGATGACTATAGAAAATAAAATCACTCAAAGAAAAGAGAATAAGTGGATTTGTGTAAAAAAGTTGTACTTTTAAGCATTACAAATAGTATTTGGGTATAAAGGAATTTGTCAATCTACGTCGCACGGTTTGGTCAATGCAGGAATCATACGAGCATCTCAATTTCCCATGTAAATATCATATTCTTTTCAGGGTTAAATGATTTTAGAAGGGAAACATTTAGGTGACAATACAATTAGGCTCATGATTAATGATGAAAAAATTGAAGTAGTCCAAAAAAATTGTGCATAACACTATAACTCTTCCCCATTTTTTATATTGTTCAACCATCTTGTTTACAGCAAATGAAAACATATTTTCAAAATTACAAATTCTACAAAATAAAGCTATGAGAATCATTTTAAATGAAAACAAATATGCTAGGATTAAGTCTATGTTTTTTAAGAGGTTTAAAAAATCATTTATTACCATCAAATTTAGAGAACTTCACAAAATTAAATAGTAATTATCATAACTACGAAACTAGAGGCAGTATAGGTTATAATCTGCAAAATTGTAATAGTCTCATAACTAGTAAATCTATATTTCAGGAGGGAGTATTTGAATTTATTAAAATGAATAATGATATTAAACAGAATTCCAATTTAAAAATGTTTAAGGTGAAATTAAAAAATCACTTTATGAATAATCAAAATACATAGTGACGTAATTTTAATTTTAATAGACAAGAATGTAAAATTACAGAAAATGGATTGAAGAAAAATATGTAACCGAATCATTATACAAAATTGACATTTTAGCATTAATGCTAAATAAATATTCAACAACAACAAAAAGTTAGCAGCGCTCTCAACTATTTGACAAAATGGACAGTTTAAGACAATGACTCAAATCTTTAAGTTAATTATTAAAATTAAGGTATTATTTTTTTTGGTCTAATACAACAGATATTAGATATTAGAGATCTAATGGAATCAAGTGTCAACTGGCGTTTTTGAACAACTCTCAAAGAAAAATGTTTTTGTGGATATTATTGAAAATTTTGTTGATAAGCGATAGCTCGTTTGAGAATTGTTTACCTGTTGGTGCCGCGCAAAGGTCTACGCATTTGTTGTTAACACAGGCAGCGTCTGAGGGACAATTAGAATCGCTCCTGCAACCGATCGTGCAAGCGAGTCCTTCACATATTTCATCATTCCTGCAATCGTCGTCCTTTCTGCAGATCGGTTTGCAGACTCCAGTTGAAGTTTCGCAACGCTCGTTACTGAGGCAATTTTTATCAGATGAGCAGATCGTTCTACAGAAGCCCTCCGTGCAGATATTACCTGGAAAAGAAAGATTTTTACACTATTAACCCAAGAAATCGTCATTATTGACTGCAGTTTCTTATTGAGGAGTAGCATTTACTCTCCCTTGGTGAGTAATGGAAACAAAAAATATTTCAATGAAAAATTTAATTCTTTAAACTGTAAAACTATTAGGTATAATTTATATTTTATACACAACTTATTTATACAACTATTATTACTTTTCTTAACATTGAAATATTGTTTTTTTGTTGTACTGTTGTACTTTTTATTATTATTATCATTATTATTATTATTAAAGGCTCATCACACAACTAACATCTGTACTGATTAAAATGAGTCAGGTTTGAAAATTTCAACTGAGTTGATTCACTCTTACCTTTTTGACACTCCCTGTTTTCCTTGCACGGCTGCGCAGGCGCCCTGACGCATGCCACCTTAGCCGATGGATTAGGCACAAAACCTTCCCCACAAGAACAAGTCGCTCTATGATTAGACACAGTGCAAATTGCGTTTGGTCCACACGGGTTGGCACTACATGGACTGGCACACTTGTTGTTGATGCAGGACTCTGTGCTTGCACAGTCATCGTCACTATGACAGCCAAAGAAGCACATGTGATGCAGGCAGATGTGGCCCAGGAAGCAGTCATTGTCCACACGGCAGGTCAGTTGACAGTTGCCTTTCAGGCATTTCTCGTTGTAGGCACAGTCGGTGTCAAGCTTGCATCGAGGTTGGCACATGTTATCTTTGCAAACTGAAGAGTTCGTGCAGTCTTGGTTGGTGGAACATGGTACTGGCACTAGGAGTTATTAAAATCAAATTAGTATAAAATGGTTTTTTGACTTACGACTATAAACTGCTTTTTATATTTACTAGATCAGGTATATTCAGCGCAAGTCCATATAGATTATTAACATCTAAGTGGACTCACGAAAAATTAAAACATTTAATGGCAGCGCTTTCATCAACTTCTTAATTTTGTAGTCCGTATCTATGACATTTTGGTATCACTCAGACAGAAGGTAGCTGACATTTATTATTTTCTCAAAAATAGTTATTTCGACAAATCTTTCACATCAACACTAGTTTCTAATGAATACTTACATCTGATACATTCGACCTCGGTGTTTCCTGTGAAACCATGCGGGCAGCTGCATGTTTTCACATGTTCTTCCATCTCACATAGAGCATTGACTCCACAGGCCTTTGGCAGTACGCATGGATTGATGCATTGACCATACAGACACTGCTCGCTGTGTTGACAATCAACGTTTTCTTGACAAGGAGGACTGCAGACATCGCCGTAACAGTAGGTATTCGCTGGACAATCCGCGGTTGTTCTGCAGTTAAGCAGTTTCGGTTTACAACCTGTAACAGGGTCGTTCGGGTCACCTTGATATCCATCCCTGCAAGTGCAGTGTCCTACATGATCAACAGCTACGCACTCGGCGTTTGGCAGGCACTGGGTTTTCTCGCAGACATCTCTGCATTTATGTACTCCGTTAGATTTATCGCAAGAGGCGAATGAAGGGCAATCATTGTCATTATTGCATTCTACTGGGGCCCTACAACCTTCGTTATAGGGATCTCCGACTTGACCTTGAGGACATTGGCATTTGAAGGATCCTCTTGAGTTGTGGCATTGAGCTCCTGGTCCACAAGGACTATCAGCACAGAAATCGATCAGCTTGCAGCCTCTCAATGGATCTCCTGTATAACCTGGCTGGCAGTAACATGTCTGTTTGTGATGTTCAGCAGAGCAAAGGGCGTTCTTTCCACAAGGATTGTGCACCAAGCAGGCTATCTTGCACATGTACTGGTCGCAAAGTTTGTCGTTGCTACATTGTTCGTTGGTCTCACATTCCACCTTTTGACAACCGAGCTTGTCATCATTAGGATTTCCTTTGTATCCTGCCTTACAGCTGCACGAAGCTTTGTGGTTCTTTGAAGTACATTCGGCGTTTCTTCCACAAAGCACCCCTTCGCAAGCGTCTATACATTCAGCTCTTCCTAGCGGATCGGTCAGACATTTCTCTTTGGAGTCACAATCAGGGTTAGCCCTACATTTCACTTCTTGGATACAAATGTTGTTTTGGCAAAACTGGTGTTCTGGGCAAGAGGTGTTCGTTTTACACGTAGGTTGGCATATACCTTGGATACAGAGTTGATCTCCAATGCACTCTCTGGATGAAGAGCAGATAGAAGTACATAGTCCGTTGTAACACTTGAGGCCTGATGGACACTGAGCGTCTTTAGCACAATATTGTACCGGTACGCAACCCAGATGTGGATCTCCTGTGGTACCCGCTTGGCATACGCATACACCTTGGTGGTTTGATGCAGTGCAGTCCGCTTTTTCGCCGCAAACATTCGCTAAGGTACATGGATTTACACATTTTGAGTCTACGCAAGCTTTATCATTTACACAGTCGTTGTTATCCACACATTCTATCGGGATGCAGTTGTGGTTGGCATCTTCCTTGGTTCTAGCTGGGCATCTACATGTGGCTTCATGAGCTACTGGGATGCACTCAGCGTTCTTGCCACAAGCACTAGGGATGTCACATGGGTTTCTACATTTGTTGTCGATGCAAGCAGCTGATGATGGACAATCGGTGTCTGTAAGACAGTCACCAGGTTTTCTGCAGCCAGTGCCCACTGGATCACCGACAAGGCCATCAGTACAACTGCAAGTGAAGCCTCCATCAGTGTTGATGCAGGTTGCTGTTGAATGGCAAGGGCTGGATTCGAGGCATTCGTTTATGTCAACGCATTTGTTGTTCTTGAAGGCGTAGCCAGTAAAACAGGAGCATATTGCGTGGTGATCTTCGATGGAGCAAGTTCCTTTTCCACAGTTCACGGCATCACATGGGTCTGGAAAAGACAAAAGGTTATATTATACAAAGGGCACTATAAAAGTTTTGCAATATGACTAAACAAACGGACGCAGGAGGCTGCATGTTACTGAATGTTGAAATATGTCCATGAGGGCACAGTAGCCTCCAGCAGCACGTCTGTTGATTTAGTTGTTCATTCTTATTGACAGTGTAAAGTGCGGACTATGGCATCGTGGTCACGTAGTGAAACAAGGGCAGTTCTACGCTTGGTTCAAGCATAGACCAGTGTTTAGAAGAAATGACGCTTGCATTAAAGAATTGAATTTAATGCATGTCCCTTTGATAGCTTACACGAACCTATTCGATTTTGATGTATCAACTGATTTTAATTGCTAATATGAATTGAAACACTTACTTAAGCATCTGTTGGTTCCAACATCGCAGAATTTGTTAGATGGGCAATCGATGTCTTCCAAACATTCCACCTTGAAGCATCCAAGTGTCTTATCTTGTGGATCTCCAAGATGACCAGGAGGACAAGAACATGATGGTTTATGTTTTGTTACGGTGCAAACTGCATGGGCTCCACAAGGCGATGTCTCACAAGGATTCTGGCATTTGCCTTGCTTGCAAGCTAGATTATCCGCGCATTGAGTATCTCTTCTACATTGACCGGGAGCTGCACATCCTGGATCTGTGAAAGGATCGCCAACGTTTCCTTCTTCGCAGATGCAAGTGTAAGAGCCTGGTTGATTCTTGCAAATGGCTGTTGGATGGCAAGGGTTCGCTTCACACTCATCTATGTCCATGCATCCTAAAGGTGTTCCTATGAAGCCTTTGTCGCACTTGCATTGGCCTTCTGAACAGATCTGGGACGGCCTGCAGTCCTTGTCTTCGGCACATCCAGGTTGGCACACTCCCTTAAGGCATATCTCGCCATGGAGACAATTGTTATCACTGTAGCATACTTTAACGCAGAATCCTTCATAGCATCTTTCACCAATAGCACATCCTGTGGTATTCTGACAGGGTAGCGAACATTGATTTTCGTGGCAAACATGTTGTGGTATACATTCTGAGCTTTGTTGACAAAGGGATGGTGTTCTGATGCATCCTTGCTGAGGAGTGGGGTTTCCGTCAAAGCCTGGAGGGCACTTGCAGACTGTCTTGTGGTCATGAGCGGAACAGATTGCATTGGGGCCACAAGCAGCATCTTGGCAAGGGTTCTGACATTTGTTGTTGATACATGCTTCTTCTGAGAGACAGTTTTTATTGCTTCTGCATCCGATGATGCAGGTAGCGTTGACGCAAGCTTGGTCTTTGGCGCACTGACTGTGATCTGCGCACGGAATCATACAAATGTTCTCCATACACTTTTCCCCAACTGAGCAATCGTTGTTGTTCCTACAAACTGATCTACACTGACCACTGAAACAGACATCGTTACCACAGTCAACGTCATATTCGCAACGAGATGTGATACGAAGACATCCATCCTGCATCCCGCTGATAGCGGGAATGTACTTCGATGGACATGTACAAATAGCAGTTCTATTTTGCACGATACAAACGGCATTAGGCCCACAAGTAGAGTGGTCACAAGGGTTGACGCAACGGTTACTTTTACATACTGACTTTGGTGGACAGTCAACGTCACCATTTGGACAATCACCTTCTGGTCGGCATCCTGAAGCATATGGATCGCCAACCTTGCCAGGGGGACAGACACAAGTATGACCAGATGATGTTGGTCTACATATTGCTGACTTGTGGCAGGGACTGGGCTTGCAAGGTTCTACTGGGATACATTCCACGTCCGCTATGGGATTTGGTGCGGTACCAGGTGGACATTGACAAACGGATTTGTGATCTTCGGCTATGCAGACAGCATTGTCGCCACAAGATTCATCATCACATACATCCTTGCATGTATGGCTCATTCTGTCACATAGCTGGTATTTGGGACAGTCGATGTTGTAGACACATGGCACAGATTTGCATCCCGTTTTCAGATCGTTAGGGTCACCAGCATAGGCACCTGGTGGGCACTGACACTGTGGCGCATGGTTGTTGACAACGCAGATTGCGTTTGGTCCACATTTGATTTGATCGCACGCAGGTTGACACATCATAATTTTATGTTCTTCATGCTTCCTACAACTCTCCTGTTCTTGACATTCTGCATCAGAGGTACATTGATTCTGAAGGAGTGGTTTGCAACCATTTCGGTCATTCGGATTGCCTGTGTATCCTGTTAAACAGTGACATTGGCCTCGATGGGCCTCAGCTACGCAGGCAGCGTTATCAGGACATGTGAAATGGTCACAAACTGGAACGCATTTCAAGATATTCAAAGCATCGGGTTGGCACGACTCGGTTAGCTCGCAATCAACATCTGTGGAACAGTCTGGCACCGAAGGTTTCTCGCAAGCTGAGGTGACAGGGTTCCAGATATATTCACCTTTGCAAGCGCATGTTGGGTGACCGTTGACGTCAAGTTGGCATACCTCGTTGGTACCACAAGCCACCGTTTCACATGGACTGATACATTTCTGAATACCATTCGCATCTACTGAACAGATCGTTCCAAATGAACAGTCATGATCGTTTTCGCATTCTTTTGGTGGTAGACTCTTCTCTAATTGGCAACCAACGTTCAAATCGCCAGGGTTTCCAGAAAATCCTGGATTGCATATACAAGACGATCTATGATTCTCAGCTACGCAGAGCGCGTTCGGACCACACTGCACTTTGCTGCAGGCATCCACGCATTTACGTACGCCTTTTCCAAACTGGAAGCAAATTTCTGATTCAAAACAATCTGCATCGCTACTACACTGTCCGTGCATTTTACATCCCTCAACAAGATCAGATGGGTTACCGAAGTAGCCTGGAGAACACATGCAAATACCGCCTTCACAAGAAGCGCCTGGACCGCACTTCACATCAGCGCACAAGTTCCTGCATTGGCCTCTTTGACAGTTGTAGCCGAGGGGGCACAGTAATTGATCGCTGCATTGACAGTTCTCAGGTTCTCTGCAGATTCCCCCTTGGACTTGCGAGCACATGACGAAGGGGTTGCCAGCATATCCTTCTTTACATCTACAATCGTAACTTCCGACTGTGTTGATACAGACAGCTCCATTTCCGCATACGTTGGTAGCGCATTCGTCTAGGTCTTCGCATGAGATGTATGGGTTTCCAGTGAAGCCTCTTCCACAGACGCATTCGATGCCTTTATAGCTGTCTCTGCACTCAGCGTTCTTGCCGCAGGAGGAAGGACTGCAGGTAGTTCGCTCGATCCTTTCACAGGCTTCGTAGGGGTTGCCAACAGTTCCGGTGTTGCAAACACATTGGTTGGTAAGGCCGTACTCACAGTGGGCGTTCTTTCCGCAGACTGGGTCGCAGGTTGGACCGGTAATCGCTGTAAAAGAAATTGATGTAAGGATACTTGAGGAGTACATAGGGCATTACATTTTGGAGGGAAAATGGTTCCTGCGATTTGTATTTTATCTCAGTTACGAAGAACGTAGCTTCATCTAAGGTCATAGTTGAAAAATATCCAGGTGTTCGATATTGGAATAATGTCCATACACTAGGTCGCTCACCTTCAAACAAGAAAGGAAGTTTCCTACGTTTTAAGGTCATTAAATATTACGTAGGCCTTTAAATCGTTCCTCAATTGGCCATTCAAGGCTTATTCATCATGAGCGTCTTGAAGTGACCTTCTTGGATAAGTGGTGAATTCTATAGAGGATATTTGTTGGAAAACTTATAGATATCGAAAGATATAACTACTCAAAATACTTACGTGGCATACACAACATATTTGGATTTCCGACGAAGAGATGATCGCAAACGCACTTATTGGTATCAGGATTGCAATGAGCTCCAATTCCACATATCACCCCTTCACATCTTTGCTTGCACCGTCCATTGATGCATACGTTTGGTTCTTCGCAAGGATTCGTCTTCGAGCAAACGTCCCTCGTGCACTGGCCGCCAGGAAAAGGGTTGCCGATGAGATCTTGTTGACATTTGCAGGTTGGTCCTGAGCTGGTTACGATGCACTGAGCTCCTGGAGCGCAAACTGTTCCTTCGCACACTGAAAATCAAAATGCATTGTTGACGAAGGCGAAGAATCAATCATACACGAATCAGGATCAGTGATGTCATTATGACAAGATATTTGAGGTTGTGGTCCACTACTATGACGCCTGTGATGGATATGGGGTGATGTAGGATTTAGAACTGTTAGTTTAAAAAAGTATTTCTATTAAGTGAGCTAATTGGTTTAGAATTTTCAATATGCTATGGACTTTTTTGAGGTCAGTGCATACTCAAAAAAATTGCACCTTCATATTACAATGGAGCTGTAGTATATAGAAGTTCATTTAAATCTTTGTAAAGAGTTTAATACCAGAAAAAGGACGTGACATGAATGCGGATCAGGATAACAGGACTAAGATGAAACTTGTTTGGGAAAACAAGATGCTTACTCGATACGCAGTGCCCTTCCGAATTCTTGTTATATCCGCTGTCGCAGACACATTTTCCTTTGTGGTTCTTCGGCTCACACCTGGCATGCGGTCCGCAAAGCACAGTTGCACACGGGCTGATGCAGGTGCCATCTTGGCAACTGAGGATGCTGGCACAATCAGTATCTGTGTGGCACTCCGATTTTGGTGATCCGGGGGTTTCAAGGATACAGCCGCCTTTGTAAGCGTCGCCAGTCATTCCTTTCGGGCAAACGCACTTGTAGCCGCCTCGTTGGTTCAAACAGTGCGCGCCGTAGGCACATGGTGACTCGGAGCATTCGTCCACGTCTTCGCAGCCTTGGAGTGGGTCGCCCTTGAAGCCGGTCTCGCATACACACTTGGGTGGGTCACTAGAAATATAAATAAATGTTAGAGTTATACCTACATATCCGATATCTGAAATAATTTTTTGCCGAAGCAGCTTAAGCAGCAAAGGTCCAGGTCAAGGGTACATCTTCTGGTAGACTTATCCATATTCTCGCTATCATGTGGGTACATCTAACAGTCTTTGAACGTGGAATCCTATCAAGCTCATAACGATAGAAAAGTACTAGATCAAAAGTAGAACGCGAAGAAAACGTGATAGGCCTTCATGACCTCCAAGATGTCTCTTCTTGGACTTGTTACAGTTTCTTTCTATGCTCAACTAAAAATTAACTGTATCTTGATAAAATAAATTATTAGAACGTTTTTCTCATTTAGAATCATAATTTTATAACTGTTATTAAAATATTGAATTTTCTTCTTTTCTTGTTCTAATGGTTCTGTGTTGGAGGATCGTACTCTGCATCTCTTTAAAGGTCATTGCCGGGATGTGGTTGATGTTTCTGTTCGACAATAGATGGCGTGCGGTATGGTCAACGCTGGGATGGCCACGGACCGGGAATTGTTCCGTTATAGAATTGTCGTTGTGTCTCCGGTGCTCTTGTGTAGCAGTTTAGCGGCCACAACCTGCTTTAGTGAAGAAATTTCACACCCATAGTTGCGGTTTGCCGGGTTGTGGGGATTTTGTTAGGAATCGGCCTCCATTGGTGAATTTTGCTGTAGGGGCCCTTATCTCGCCCTCTTGCGGGTTTAGTCGTTGTTGCAGCTACACCTGAACCATCCAGCTGATCGAGACTGTCTACATTAACACTCCAAAACGACCTATAAGTAGGACTCACGTCCCTGAGGACCAGTCCGCCATTTCCGCGAATCCCCATTGTTCCAGGGGTTCTCCTTCGAGTTCTGATTTACATCTCGGACTTTCTGCCCTTGGTTATCTTGACTTCGGAGCTTCCATTTGGGTAGCCTTGACTGGCGCCCAACTTGAGCATTTAATATGAGCATTCTTCAAGACGCCTGGCAAAGTACCGGGGTACTTTTAGAGGCACAGTGACCTAATACGCAGTTCTTATTGCCACAGAGTGGACCTCTTGGTATAAATGGCACTTTAATGTGAGGTGCAACGTCCATAGTAGAGTGGATTACGGTTATGATTTGTGATAGGCTTAGATACCATCATTCGAACGAATTTTCAAATTTAAGATTCCCTAGAAGACCCTGAGTCCTCCACCTAACAACGATTATGAATAAACAAAAATGATGTAAAAGAAAATTTTACCTGGGTGTGCACTTGGCGTTTAATCCACACGGATACCGTTCACACGGACTCTTGCATTTGTTTCCGTCTTCAGCATCAGTGAAGTAAGGCGGTGGACAAACACATTCTCCAGGTTGAATACATTTCTCGTTCGGAGAACATTGCTTGTCGCCCATGCATTTTTTCTGAGCTGGAGCGCAGATGCCGTTGTACGGTTCTCCACCGTATCCGATCGGGCAGTGACACTCGTAAGAACCAGGGATGTTTCTGCATTCAGCTCCATAACCACATGCCTGCAAGAAACAGATCAATAAACATGTATCTATCTTATATACTTGACATTACGGAGTTAGTTTTCAGTGGGCTCTCAGAAAGAAAACAATATAAATTTATTTGCGCCACATATCTGGCAGCTTTTACTGGTGGAAAAAATCCACCTCCAGTTCTTGTGGATGGTTGCAAAACGTACTGTTATGAACCAGAAAATAAACGAAAGTTGGCTGTTTGAGTGTTCCTAGGTGAAGAAAAGCCAACAAAGGTTCTCGAAGTGTTTCGAAAAAGCTGGTCGCGACATTTGTGTCAATGAGCAAAGAACTGTTACTGCAGATTGGTATACCACCATTTGTTTGCCAAAAGTCATCACCGAGCTTCGAAAAATCAACCCCGAAAGAAGAATCATCCTCCACCAAGACAATGCAAGCTCGCACACAGCCCAAAAAACAAGGCAGTATTTAACGGAAGAGAACGTGGAATTATTGGACCATCCTCCATATAGTCCTAACGATTTCTTTACTTTCCCGAAAATTAAAATCAGACTGCGTGGTCAAAGGTTCCAGTCACCAGAAGAAGCAGTTGACGCATTCAAAACTGCCGTTTTGGATCTGCCAGCAAACGAGTGGAATAAGTGCTTCGAAAATTGGTTCGAGCGCATGCAGATGTGTATTAATCTTCGTGGAGAATACTTCGAAAAACAATAAAGTCATTTAAAACTACCCACCGTGTTGTTTTATTTCCATATGGAAAACTTAAAAGACATCCCTCGTATATTATCCTTAGTAGAAGCTTCATGATACGAAATGGGAACAATGCACTCATCAATTAAAGAAATAATCTTTAATTTTTCACGATCTAGAAAATGTTGAAAATCGCAGAATGTTTGTTGGGAAAGATCCATTGTCACAAGTTGAGGTAAATAGAGAAATGTCAAAGAAATATCCAAGGGGGCTATCAATTCTCCATTACAGCGTGATAAGAATTCTCCTAAAATCTAAGAAATCCTTAATTAAAGATAATCTCGAATCAAAGTCAATTGTGTTTTATCAACTGTACCCAAAGGAACCGGTATACCATTCTTCATGATGGCACTCAATGTCAAGGTAACTCTATGTAACCAAGAAACATTCTACTCCTTGCTATTCGCCCTCCTCCCCTTCCTTCCCCTCCCCTTCCTTTTCCCATAATTTTGATACCTAAACCTTAAGCAAGAACAAAGGCTAGACACTAGACACCTATCTGTCGGATACTGAATAATGGAGAGAGAGACTTGAATATCCTAGAGCTTTGAACCTATCGGTCATTCAAAATGACGGAGCTGCGGATTGTTGTCAGTTAAAATTTCAGGAGGTCTTAATAGTACAAACACGCAATTACGTACCTGTGGTTGTTCAGCACATTCGTCGACATCCTTGCACGATCCATCCGGTAGCGTCCTGAATCCCTTTGGGCAAGCGCAGTAACTGACACCTCCCGTTATCGTGATACACTCGGCTCCACTGGGACACTTTCCGTCTGGTTCACAACTAGCTAGAACGCAGTTTCCGTCCATGAGCTTATACGGAGGTTGACACCTGCAGTTTGGACTATTGCACTCCAAGCATTCGAGAAAGGGATTGCCGTTGAAACCTGGCGGACATTGACAATCGTAACTGCCTGGAAGGTTCTTACAAATCGCGTTGATGCCGCAGACTGGTTTGTCTCTAAGTTCAGTACATTCATCGTTGTCTCTACATTTTCCTGTCTCGGGATCTCTAACGTAGCCTTGTACACAGATACAGACACTCTCTTGAAGGAAGTCGTCCAGGACGCATTGCTCTCCAGATGGACAAGGGTTGGCTTCGGAGCAGCCGTGAGGTTTGGTGATCTTCGTGCAACCTGTTCTGTAAGCATCTCCGGTGGTACCGCCTGGACACTGGCACGAGAAAGAGCCTGGCTCGTTTTTGCAAACTGCTCCGGATGGACATGGATTGCCAGCACATTCGTCTATATCCACGCAGCCTGAGGCACTACCAGTATATCCATTGCTGCAGATGCATTTGGCTTCTTGGTTGACCAACATGCATTCTTCGTTAGGTCCACAAACTGTGGCTTCGCAAGGATCTGTAAAGAAATTGAAGATGTACATTATGAGGAATGTTCACATCACATCACACGAAAAGACATGAAGCGATCTCACATAATACATGCTTATTACTCTGGGGGACTGGGCGCATAGGAAGTTTTCAGGACTGATTGAACAGTGCATAAGTTGGGGCGATAGAGAACATGGCGAAATGAAGATGAAAACTGTCAATCTAGAGCCTTGGTATTAGGAAAGTTGGTGTGCACATGATATTCGGATAATGAAGACTGTGAGACTGTGACTCCATATCATAGCTGCCCGGTTAAGGTCCCATCTACAACCATAAACAAAAACCGTTCACGAATATAGAGATTTGAATCGTTCAAGGCAATAAGAGTATCTGACTGACTATTCATTTGCTCCTACAGGAATGCCATTAACCTGATAGATCAGTGCCATGAGAAATTTGGGTTTCAAATGTTTCATCAAGAGGAGATGTGAGGTAAATTCGCCACCACGCAGTCCCGATTTGTCCCTTATATGTTTTATATAATCATGTATAAAATGTATCACTTACGTCTACAGTCATTGCCGACATTGGGTTCTGGGCACAAGCACCTCTTCTTGCCGTCACAAACTGCATTTCCTGGGCAATCAGCATCGCCGGTACAAGTCACTATCTCGTTACATTTGGTCTTGGCATCTGGATCTGGTACTGTGCCTTCGGGACATTCACATTGGTAGGATCCTGGAGTATTTTTGCAAATGGCGCCCAATCCGCAAGTATCTGGTTTTGTACACTCGTCTATGTCGGTGCATTGAGTGTTGGGGTTGCCTGTGAAACCAGCTTCACACTGACATGCGAAAGTACCTGAAATTGAAAGCGATACATCAGTAAAGGGTCGTTTGATAGAATAGCAAAAACCGAAGGTACAACTCTGTTGAGACGTTTGCGTTATTATGTTTTTTGTACATTCTGATAGGAGCTTCAACAGTGCATCCTGTGGAAGGTACTCATATGCTCCGACAGTCAAGCAACCTCCAGGGTAGTGGCATTTCCGATGAAAAGTTTCACCTATAGTGCAGGAATACACTATGGTTCTTCGGACCTTAGCCCTATGCAAATAAGTGATCCTGCTTTGGGTTCCCGGACACAGTGCAATAGCGGGTAATGAGAAAACAGGTTCTCTGGCTAGAATAGGAGCCTAGGCAGACGCCAGGTGAACGTTGCACTGAATGAATAGGCAGGTAGGGACCAGGGCGAGAGAAATGACTGAAGATAGGCTAAAAGGTTCATAGCGGGCCCCCAAGTGCTGACTACTGTAGACTGAAGGGTCTCTGATCCCCCTTAAGGGTGGAAAACGATCCTATATGCCCCATGTGCTGGGAGGAGGACGAGCCACTGTTCCACTAGAAGTGCTAAGGCTTGAGATATTCGCAGCCATGGACGGGGTCCTCCCTTTGCAATTCGACTAAGATGGCAGTATGCCCCTAGACAGGATTCAAGAAAGTCCAGCTGCCCTGACTCCACAGTAGATGAGCGACTACTCTCGCTTCACCACGGATCACCAGATCCAACGGTGGGAGATCCAACAGCTTCCATTGCACTCAATGGCGTTGTTCGTACTGAGCTTGTAATGCTAATAGAGGCCAAACGCTGAATTTTATTGAGTTTGGCCTTAGTTGTCTCAGTTCTAATGCAAGGCCACCAGACCAGGGAGCCGTACAAGAGAGATGGACGTACTATCGTCATGTAGAGCCAGTATACCACTTTGGGTTTAAGCCCCCACCGTACAACGATAACACGTCTACGGGCCCACATTGAATTTCGAGCCTTGTTAACCTTGTATTCAACATGCTCTCTTCAGTTCAGTTTGCAATCCAGGATAATTCCCAGATATGTCACTGATTGGGATAGAATTAATCTAGTTTGGAAGCGATTTTCTGCGCCATTTCTCCGAGCCAAAACTTGATGTTTCATTCAGATTTTTCAGTTTAATCTACAAAAACTATTACGCTGAGTATCGTGACCCAATCCATTGCTGCACGTTTATCGAGCTTAATAAGTTAAAAAGTAGCCTAACCATTTCGTGTATTGTGCTTATCTGATCATAGTTTCTCACCTGGTAAATTGGTGCAAATGGCATTAGCTCCACATCTTCCACTGGGTCCATTTGCCTTGTCACATTCATCGATATCGATACATCCGGCTGCGATGTCTGCAGGGTTGAAGGTCCAACCATCCTCGCAGATGCAGTAGGCTTCAATGCCATCAGCTTTACAGTAAGCATGTTCACCACACGCGATGTCCTCACATGGGGCCTTGCAGTTGACCATTGGTGGAGCACCTACGTACCTGTTAAAAGGATATTATTTGATTATTGCATGTTGGTTTGGTAGGTATATTTTGGGTTCCATGGGCAAGAAAACTGATTCTTTATGTCTGTAATGGCACTGCAGACATAATTTTTTAATACCAAAGGGTTCTGTCTTAAGTAGGGGAGACCGAGGATGGTTGACTAGTTTTGTAAATCATACATATCTTTGTGCTTTTATACATACAGGCAATGGATAGAAGAACTATTGAACTTATAAAAACTAGTCCATTATTCAATATAATGATCATAATTTAACACATTTTACAGAACACCAATTCTTAGTCAATTTACCCCGGCTCCGGGGTAGATTGACTATATGTCCGGGGTAAGTATACTTACGTATCAATAAGTGACAAATTATGAGAAGAGTCAAGTTATGAAGCTTTTTATAATTTAACAAAACTTTTTATTCAAAAACAATTCTAATCAGTTACAGACATTATCTTACAATAAGTCTTTAAGAAAACTATCAACTCCTAGTTTTTATTTAAACATTCATTAGTTTCATTAATTAAACAGTTCCTTTATATCTTATACAGGGTGACTTCGAAGTTGAGTCATTTATTTTAACAGTGAGTAGATCTGATCAAAAGAAATGATTTTTTCCTTTAACATTTTTGTGGTAAAATTAAAGTAATAAAGTTATAGCCCTTTAAAAGTTTGAGTACCGCCCTGTCTCAATAATAATATTATGTGCTCGTGTTTGGCAACAACGGATATACTCCGCCTTATCGGTTCATCGCATCGGAAAGAAAAAAGCGAAAGAATTTGAAACGCTTATCACGATGTTTTTACTACAATTTTATTCAGTTGTATTCAGTCAATGTGTCAGTCGGTAACGCGTGAGTGAATAGTGGTGTTTGTTGAGTGGCTCAGACGAAATAAAAAATGGCACATGTTTACGAAAATGCTGAACTTGTGTGATTCTTATTTACGGGGGGGGAGTCTTTACAAAATGCTGCCGCGGCATCACGGATTTATGCGGATCGGTTTCCCAATCGAGTGCAACGAACCCCTCGTGCCTTTGTTAATGTAGTACAAAGGGCTCGTGAATCAGGTGACTTAAGACCTCACAGGGGAGGGCATGCCGGTGCTCCAAGACCGCACGATCAGATACAGGTCCGCACTGAAATACTTGTCGGGAGGATACTTTATAAAACAAGGTAACATTTTTTTTTATTTTTTTTTATTTTTACACACATATTTTGGTTTATATTCCTTCTACAATCATTATCTGAAAATTAATGACTCAACTTCAAGGTCTTCAATATCAGAAGCGTAATGTTTGCATTTAAAAAACATTAGATCACCTCTTACACATTTGGAATGGGCCCATAACTTACAAGTTATGCACTGAATCCATTGTTCGCCCGGAACACTATCGACGTAGGATTAAGTGCACTCTAAACAAATTGTATTCTCGTCATCTGAATCTACAGCATTACCGTCATTTTCATGGACGTTGTCATCAGCAATCTCATCAACTTTATCCGTTTCTTTTCCTTTGCCCTTTCCTTTTCTTTGGCCCTTTCCTTTTCCTTTGCCCTTCCCTTTTTCTTTTTCTATTCTGTCCTTTGTATCTGTTTTTTCTTCTTGTATGTCTCTCTTTTGTTTTTTATATCTAAAAGAGTTTGTTTTCCCGGGGTGTCAGTATATATAGTACTTTTACGTTTCCGAGTATTTCTTCTATTTCCTAAAAGTGGTGCCGATTTTGGAAAGGGTCTTAGCTCTTCATATGTTGCTGACGAAGTTGAGGAAAGGTTTAGATTGTGTAAAGATGGGGGCACATTTGCTTCTGCAGAATGCACGTTTTCTGGTGTTTTGAGGTTTCCTTTTAGTTCCGGTTCAAATACAGAATTGAATGTTTCGTCAAAAAGAGAAGGTGACTCACATTCAGTCCTCAAATATCTGGTAGGAGAGGGTGTTGTGGTAGTAATCTGTCGCATAAGAACTACTAAACTCGGAGTCAGGAAAAATGTTTTCATTCAATGGTGAAATCCCGGATACTCCGAATTCTGATTGAATATTTTCAATTGTAGCATATCGTTTTTACAAGCTCCGGTATTCCATAAATTGTGATAGTCTTTCCCGGGTTACTAGCCAGCCAGCTGTCACATGCTCGGTTGAAATACTTTTTCAATGGTCCGTACACAGATCTGCCAAGAGGTTGTAGCTTGTGGCTACAATGTGGAGGGAATGATAAAACAGTCACCAGATTAGCTTTAGAGTAGTCCAACGCTTCAATTGATAAGTGAGAATCATGGTTATCCAACAACAAAGGTACAGGTTTTTCTTTACTAGGTTTAACATTTTTCACGAAATGTTTGGCGTAATTTTTTACTTTTTATGGCGAACTGACATGCTAATTTTCGGGTCTCATATGGTTTCAATCGATAATAAATATCAGCGGCTTTCTTTAAATGACTTGCTAAAGCTTCTTCTTCTTCTTCAGTGAAAACTTTCCTATTTTAAAGATATCCCACTGAGCCCAAAGTTAATTCTGCTCTCGTCAAGTTCGGATTACGTTCCAATTTCTCCTTTAGTTTCGCCACATAACGATGTAATCTCTTATAGGGAATGTCATATTGTTTTAAGTTGCATTAATACTTTTTGTGTCAAAAATTATTAGATGATAAGTTCGTTCTAGGACATCTTTTGGTGTATCAGCTCGTTCTGTCCTTCTTTTATAGGTTCTCATTGTACTGGAACAAAATGAATATTAAAACACGAATAAAAGGTTAATTTACGAGATATTTTAAACTTCAAATTGTATTGGGTTGGTTGGCTAACTATTCAACCAGCCCCGAAGAAAGTTAGTCTACCAACCCCAGACGCCATTTTAAGTTTCAATGGCATGGGTTACCTAAGCACTGCCATCAACTTAAGAAATATTATCAATATGCACTCACGAAGCACTCTGACTAATAGGCAAATGTTTAACATACAATGCGTCAGTGTCAGATGGAAAAATATGCAATATGAAAATATTACTCACATGATACGAAAACAAATCACGTGTCACTGCTAGAAAACGGCCTGGATTCGCGACGTGGCGCTCCGGACGACTGAGCGGGGGTCCTTAGCGAGTTTTTGGCGGTTATTCTATCTACCCCTATAGTCAACCATCCCCGGTCTCCCCTACCAGAGACATTACCCTCGTCCATCGTCCCGAAAACGTAATATGAAAATGCGAAAATCTACCCACAACTATTGTGGTAATACACCCATGTATTTTCATATTCTGTTGCTGCAGATAAAGCCATCTGCATTTCTCTCTTGCCTCATGTAAAAGATACATTGAGAGCACGCACTTAAAAAACGAAGAAACCAGTAACAAAACCCCATAAAATACTTTGAGATTTTGTAGAAGGATGCTTGAAGAATATTCAGGAACTTTGACAACATTAAAATTTCTGTTCTGTCATATTATTTTTCTAGATCGCACTTTTCTCTGAAAATATCAACTATAGAATAAAGTTCATAAGAACATTTCCTGCCCAGAACGATCCAAAAAAATTGCCCGCCAGCCAAAAATACAGTTTATGGATTTTGTTTGAGAAAATAGTTTCAATGTATGACGCAATGTTGAGCCTAGCAACGTGAAGGTTGATTAAAAGACGAATACAAAAATTTGTCAACTGGTTCTACCTACCCACTTTCGCATTCACATTTGAAGCTTCCCACGGTATCATGGCACACTGAGAATGGTCCACACGGATTCGAGGAACACTCATCAACATCGACACAGGAAGCTCCCGAAGGTTTGAATCCTGAGCGACAGAAACATTGTCCCTCCGTGCATTCGGCGTTGTTGGTGCAGTCGAAGTTTGAAGTGCAGAGAGTTGTCACGTCGACCTTAGCGTAGAAAGAATGTAAAAAATTAGTTCCTAAGTTTGATTGAAGTAAGTTTCTGTGATATATGGCTATGCGGCCACCGGAAGTTAACAGGTGTCAATTTGAAAATCTAGAATCAGGCTTCTGTAAAAAGGCGCTCGCTACTTATTTCGTGAATACTGCCACACAGTGCAGTGGCGTGACAATAACTTTCTCCTCTTAAATATTTCAAAGTGTAAAGTTTGTTCATGTAGCTGCGAAATGAATCATATTTGATTATTTCATAAATAATGCGGTTTTAGAGAGAACAACACGCGTCACTCCCAAAACGACAAAGATTCTAGGTTTTATAATACGTAATTGCTGATCTTTTTCCAACGAAGCAGCACTAAAAACTATATTTGGCTGGTATGACTTATATAATATATAGAAACTACCTACTAAGAAAATTCCTTAAATATTATACTTATAAAATTGGTGACTTATAACAATCGCTTCCAAATTGTCAAGACATTATATTTCAAATAAATTAAATACAAACGCAGGGGTGCCTCAAGGATCAGTATTAGGTCCGATCCTATTCTTAGCCTATTTCAACGATTTATGAATGGTAAATTCTTATTTTTTTGTAACGATACGACAATGCTTTTGCAAAACTAAGATATACTAAGTGACACATAAATCCGAACACCCAGTTTAAATGGTTTTATTTTAATAAAAGTTGGTGAATGTATTTATCTTACTGTAAATAACAAGTGAAAAAATTTTCAGCCTCATCAGTTGGACATTCCGGTTTTTATATTGCTTTTTTTTTAATTCACTAACGCTCTAAAAATGAATATTTCAGTCGCAGTAAAGAACCAACGTTGGCGGATTTTGGTTCTTGACATCCTTTACGATCGGTTACGATGCCTAGAGTACGGAGACCTGTACGATTTCGTCAACTTAGTGAGTTTGATAGGGGCCGTATAGTGGGACTTCGGGAAGCTGGACTTTCTTTTCGGGCAATTGCAGTTAGAGTGCAAAGAAGTGTAGACACTGTGGTTGGGTGTTGTCAGGCATGGCTTCGAGAAGGCCGTACGCAAAGAGCAAGGGGCACTGGACGCCGCCGTAGAACAACAGACCGTGAAGATCACCGCCTAAGATTATTGGCTGGGATCAGGAATGGAACAGTATTGTCTTTAGTGACGAGTCTCGATTTTGTTTAGGCATGCACGATGGTCGTGCCAGGGTTAGAAGGCGACGTGGTGAAAGGAGGAATCCACAGTTTTTTGTTGAAAGACATGTTCATCACACTGTTGGAGTTATGGTTTGGGGTGCTATAGCTTATGGTTCCAGGTCACCTTTAATCTTCATCAGAGGTAACATGAACGCGCAGCGTTATATCCACGAAGTTCTAGAACCCCATCTTTTACCCTATCTTGACACCCTGGCAGATCCAACTTTCCAACAAGATAATGCCCGACCACATGTTGCAAGAGTCACAATAGACTTCTTTCAACATAATGATGTCACATTGTTACCATGGCCACCAAGATCTCCCGACTTATCCCCAATTGATCACGTGTGGGATATGATGGGTAGGAGATTGCTCAATTTGCAACGTCCTCCTCAGCCTCTAGAAGCACTTCGAGAGGAGTTGGTGGTTGCCTGGAATGAGATACCACAGGAGGACATTGACCGCCTGATCAGAAGCATGCCTAGGCGCGCTGGAGAATGCGTAGCACATCAGGGTGCATCCACACATTATTAAAGGTCAAAGGGCTTTAAAGCAGTGCAATCATTTTGAATTTTTTATCATTTACTTATTATGCTTCATTAAGTACTTATGCAAAATTTTACTAAAATATTACCATTTAAACTGGGTGTTCGGATTTATATGTCGCTTAGTATATAAATGGAATAAAGACAAAAATTGATACTATATACAATCAGTTAAAAAATAGTGTGACAACAATAACTTGACTTTCAAGACAAAATGTATGACATTCAAATGCCGTCTTGATTTAATAATAATAATCTAGAAAAATTGCTCACTCAACCAACAAAGACTACCTTATTTGAAAGTGGATTGAGAGATAGCATCCTTTTTGCATTATTTTGCGATTACGATACTTGTATAACGAAAGTAAAGGAAAATATCACTTGTCATATCATTGCCTTATCCCCAAACGCAAGAAACATATTCTTACCTGTTCACAAGCGACTTGCGGTGTAGGACTACCCTGATAACCTTGAGGACACAAACAAGTGTATCCAGGCGCAGCGTTCTGACATACAGCGTGAGGTCCACAAGGTTTTTCCAGCGCGACACATTCGTTGATATCTTCGCATCCTTTGTACGGATCCCCAGTGTAATCTTCCTTACAGGAACAGACATAGCTTCCGGGCGTATTTTTGCACGTCGCGTTCTGCCCGCATGGATTTTTCTCGCATTCGTTCACATCTGAGAACATTTCACAAAAGGCCGTTCGAAAAATTGCTCTTAAAGTTAAAAACAGATAACCTACTAAGAGAGAAACAGACAGGTAAAGACGTAACACGCAGAAGTATCATGCTGGAAGAAAAAACAGATTAGATACTGTTCGTAAAAGGGTAGCAGATATGTATGTATACAGTACAGGCTTTAGAACGCATGCTTAAACATAAGAAAAGTACAAAAGGCATATGCATAGATGGTAGGTACTAAGATACATAGATATATACGCATAAGCTTAAAGTAAATAAAATACCAGAGCAGGATAGATTTGAGGTTAATTTAACAATGCATGTTTCTTGTAAATTGTTGATGGTATGACTTTGTGAAATTCCTCCATTATATGAACTAGGTTGTAAAGGTTATAACAATAAAGTGAAAAGGTCGGTATATTTCCGTATGTTCAGGTAGGAATAAAATTTCAAAAGCTTCAAGAGTACGAAACCTTCCCTCAACCAAAATGTTCTTTTCCTTTAGATACTTTGGGGTCTGGTACACGTCATATTAATATAAAATATATACTAAAATCACAAACATTTTCCATAACTAGAATTCATATGTGAATATTTTCGATCTACCATTCAAAATAACTACCTACAAACACTCCAGTGAATAAACAAACAGTGCTTTGGTTTTGGTTGAACAAAGCTTTTGCATCACTATAAGGTAACACATCCACCTTTTTTTAAAAATAATACGCCAACCTCATTCACCAGATTTGTAAGTCCTTGGTACAGGTTGTACATACATTGTTAAATACGCCAAACGAAAACAAAGTACTCAATAAGCTACTTAGCCATGTGGAAGGTACATGATGAATAAATTTGAGATTTTCATCTATCTAACCGATTCTTCTATCTGAATAGCATGGCCATTTAGAATAATATTAAAATTATTTTTAATAGGGACCTTAGATATTTAAGAGGAACAATAATAACTTTGGATTTAGGACGATTCAATCGGAGACTGTACTGTTGCATAATTTTGAATGGAATTTAGGTCCTCTATTATTTGTGCTTCCGAAATTTCTAAATTTTCATGATTGAAGCTACAATATAATTGTGAGTCGTCAACAAAAAACTGAATACTATAAAATTTCACAACCCTGTTTATATCTGCTATACAGAGTGCTTCAGTTTATTGTTGCATAACTTGAAGATTCGATAGAACTTTTAAAATTAATGCATAAAGTCTATATAAACATGTAGTGTATTAAAATGACCGAAAATTTTTTCTTAGTGCAATTTTTTGCTTTTTGAATAAAAAAACTGATTCTTCGCACTTTTTTACATAAAACAGCTCTCCTGTGAGTTTTCGTTATAGTTAGCCGTTTTTGAGATATTTCGATTTTTAAGGTTCGATGCATTCTTAATTATTTATGGGAAAATAATATTTTTTTTACATTTTCGATTTGGGCATTACAAGTAATTAAGCTGATCGCTTAGATTGTATTTTTAAACACATCAATAATTCCTAACTCCAAATAAACACAAAAACAGAATATTAATTTGTTTAATTGTCCAATATTATTTTTAACAAATTAAATTAATTATTTACAACTAAAATGCTATTAGATAGTTAGGACAAACATACAAAATCTAAAGTAGTTGCTCGAAATGTAAACCCAATTGTTGAATACACAATTCACATCTACGACTGATCGAACGTGGTATAGCATTATTCAAATAAGGCCTTATTTCATCACATGCATTCCTGATTCTGTCTATTAGCATATCTCTTGTGGTTACGGGAGTCTGGTACACTTTTTCTTTTAGAAATCCCCACACAAAGAAATCTAATGGATTTAGGTGAGGGGATCGTGGAGGCCAGGCGACTGGTCCTCCACGGCCGATCCATCTTTCTGGATAATTTTCGTCCAGCCAGTTTCTAACTATTGTCGAATACTGAGCTGGACAACCATCAAGCTGGAACCAGGCCAAGCTTCTTAAATCTAACATAACATAATCCCACATATTTGCATGTTCAGCCTTTAAAAATTCCAAGAAGGTCGCAGCATTTAACCTTGCAGGCAAAAGGTGGGGTCCAAATAGTCGATTACGGTAGATACCAATCCACACGTTCACACTAAATTCATGCTGAAAATTTCTTTCCCGAAGCGCATGCGGATTTTCATGCGACCAAGTATGTTGATTATGAAAATTTGCCACTCCACGTCTAGTGAAGCATGGCTCATCAGTCCATAAAACGTTACTTAAAAACTCCCTATTATTATCAGTTCTATCAAGAATCCACTGACAAAATGTCGTTCCCTTTGGAGATTTCCGAAACCATTTTCAATTATTTGGCGATGCACTCTTACAAATACTGAGCGAGTTGGATGTCGTCTGTTTGGAAATCTTCGTGCGTATTCTCTGGCTGCTTCTGCTGCGTTTCCATTTACAAAGCCATACACAAAATGAATATCCACTAACTCTTGATTGGAGAATAAAAATGGCATTTTTATAAAACTTACAAGAAAAAGGTAAAAGAAACTAAATATCGTGCATTCAAAATTGCAAAAAACGTTTCAGGTTTCAACAGACAACAAAACTAACTGTCACCTAATTGACGTTTAACCTTATTCTGCTTTCAATTTCAAAAATATTTGCAGGCACAGCCTACTTCTAAAAATTATCGAGATACTGACTTTTTAACGTTATTTTATCATAAATAATTAAAAATGCATCGAACCTTAAAAATCGAAATATCTCAAAAATGGCTAACTATACCGAAAATTCACAAGAGAGCTTTTTTATGTTGAAAATTGCACTAAAAAAAAATTTTCGGTCATTTTAATACACTACAGGTACAGTAGAGAGCGCCCTCTAGCGGGTACAGTAAAACTATGCCCATGGTTCGTTTTGACGTACCAAAAAACCCTTGTATACCAATTTTCACTGTTATGTTATACATCAAATATTTTTCGAAATATTTAAAGAAAAACTATTTTAGAAAGTAAATTTAAACACCCTGTATTTCGGAAGCCACGCATTTTTCGACCCATGTTTATATAGACTTTATGCATTAATTTTAAAAGTTCTATCGAATTTTAAAGTTATGCAACAATAAACTGAAACACCCTGTATACGAAATGGAGGTTCATGAATTGATCCTTGAAACACTCCTGAGGATATCAGGGATTGCGTAGAAAATTCCGAATAAACGACTACCTTTTTGGATCTATTCATTAGAAAGTTGTGTATCAAATTCAGTGAGGAATCGTCGAAACCATAATTCTTGCACTAAGTAATCAAAATAGAGAGATCTATTGTTTAATCACAATGCTGACTTAGCCTTTAAAGATGAGACTGATAAACGACGACGAGAGATCCGAACTTTAAATAAGATACTAAAACTACGCACACTTTGTATTAGTATTTTTTTATCTCATTGCAGGAATTCATCTCCTGGTTGGGGAGTAAAATCCTAACCATGTAAAATGATAATTTTTTGAAGACATGTCGTTGGTTTGGATACATTGATAATAATACGATCTCGATGGATCTTGGTGGTTAACACAACACTATAACCAGAGATGTAATTCAAAAGTTCACTCCGTTATTGTATATTGTAGTGCAACTCAAAATCTAAGGTTATACTATAGAAGCTACAGCAAAATCTTGTTATTTTTGGTTCCAATACAGCCTTTCGCATAGTGATGTGTTGTTACTAAGATTAGCGATTCATCTCATGTAAATACCCTTTCTATAGAGTTTCACAGCATTCGTCAGTTAAAATGTTAAAAGATTATAGGTTGAGCTTAAACTGAAGTTGATGGAAGATATATATAAAAATAAATAAAGGTAAAAGTTAGTTTAGATTACTTCTTGATCAATTTCAGAGGTATTAATGTGTAGGTATTACTTTTGTTAAAAGTGTGAAGTTAAAAGTTTGAGACAACTGAGCAGGCCAAATGTTAGATCATTATTAATATTTCTCGGTTCATTAATGTATATACAGCATTAATATACATTGGCAAAGTTGTCTCTATTTGAATTGTAATGATTGTAGTTATTTAAGATTGATTTTCTTGATTGTGGAATCTACTCAACATATCAGAATTGAGCTAACTTGAGGATCAGTTCATAACATTGGCTTAGATATTTTTCTAACTACAAAGATACTAGACTACTACTAGAGGAGTAAAGGTATAAGCAATAACAAATGTTGTTCTAGAAGCTGAGGATATTGCTACGTCTACTGAACCATTTTACCTTCAAGAATAATAGATGATAAAGCTGCGTTACGTATTGAGTGGCAATTGACAGTACGTATTTGTTAAAGAAGCCGCTAATACTGACGGCAAAAAGGACACAATGTAGTAAACTTGGTGTGGGTTCCAGTTTATTTGAAACATGGTGGTTATAGAAACATAACAAGGGCTTGCAAGAGATGGACGATCTAATGTATGTATAGGTTAAGAGCTGCCCACGAGTATTGCTGTAGATCAAAGATTGGATAGGGATGCAACGAAAGATTTATTGAAGCTTGACGATTTGATGCCTGAATCTACCCTGGCATTTATCCTAAATGTGACCAAAATTTTATCTTTATCGGCCCGGAATCAGATCCGTGAAGTAAACAGCATTTTTAATAGGGCTCAATGACTTGCATTTATAAATACTCGATGAGGGGCTGTGCTATGAAGATCTCCTAACTGTATTGTTCAGGATAAGGCCTTTGATGTTTTTTTGATAATTCGAAAATTGTACTGGCGGCGTGGATAACAACAGAATGGATTCTATGCATCTGATTAGCTCCTTTTGGTTCAGTAGCGTAGGTACAACATTGAACAGGTTGATCAAACTACAAGAAAATCAGTCTTTACATGTTTGTTCCGAAAGTACTATTTACAGAGTATGTACAAGATGTGATATGAGTTCTCATGCAAGACGTACCTGTGCACTCTGACATCGGGTCTCCAATGAATCCGGGAGGGCATGCGCACCTAAAGCTGCCTTCTAGGTTGCTACAAATGGCGTCGCGTCCACACGGCTGACCTCTAGAACATTCGTCCATGTCCAGGCAGCCATGTGTGTACGGGTCACCTTCGAATCCTATAAAAACATTTATGGTTATGTCATTGGTTGATGTGCTGAGTCTAGCTCGACAGGGTGCGGCCAATCGAGAACACGCACTAAACAGTTCTTAAAAAATTGGACCAAGAAAAAGTCCCTAGAATGGTGGAACTGCCAATTGAGACAAAGGCAGGCAAAAGAGTTCATCAAAGAACGAATCCCCGCAATTACAGAGGACCTAGGGGAGACCGGGGCTGGTTGTCACATGGGTTGGTTGTCACAATTGTTAAATCTCAGCAGCTCCACAAGATGTAGTTGCCTGGCGCGCTACACATCGTTTCTGCGTCCGCGCAGAACACTTGTATTTAGTACGAAAGTTGGTAGATTAAGGTCGCACGCACAAAAATAAACAAATCGCCTAACCTGAGTAAATTTTTCGTTTGCCACATAATTTGTGTTTGCAAAACTACATTTGATAATAAAAAGAGCTGTTGAATTTATTTTGCTCTTCAATAATCCGAATACGACTTGACGTAAGTATTGACTTTGAATTTGTTAATTTAGTGACGCTATCTAACCTTAAAAATTAATTATCTAGTGGGACAGGTTTTCTCAAATTAGCGGGGGCCTCTTGCCACATGTGACAACCAGCCCCCACACTAGACGATTAGCTTTGCACATCATTCTAAAGTATATTCAGATAAGAGATAGACCGGACATAAACAAGACCACGTGATCATCGAACGCTGTAACATTCGGCAGGGATGTATTAAGAGTCACGCAGTACATATTTTAGATAGTAGATGCTGCATTGCGTAACTTTGTAGTAAATTAGCACAATTCGATGTGTATACGATTGGTGATGGATATAGGATCATGTGGGGGTGGGGTAAGAAATATATAATGATGTAAATACGAGTATACATAAGGGTTTCAAAATTTTCGCTTCGATTTCCAGCTTCGGATGCCGTCTGATGTTTGGTGAAGTACAGTCGAATATAATCTCAAAATGGCGTTTAAATTAGCCTAAATTAAAAATAATCGTATATCTCTTAAAATTGCTTTTAGAATATTGATTAGTATATTTTTTGATTTCTAGGTAAATATGTAACCAAATTAAAACGTTCAAAACGTAAAAAAATGTGCATGGTTGAACATTGTCAGAAAGTAGATTCTTGAATAGGTTTTGCCAAAATGGGTTCAAAAATGTCAATAATTAATTAAAAAATACAGTAGCTTTATAATTACTTATAACTTACCGAATTTGATGAACGACATCTTTTATTGGAAAGATGAGCTTGATGAGCTTTCATCATCGCTACTGCCTGAAGCACCAACGTCAATAATGAATGGCTCGACTTGTTCCTCTAAAATATTATCCAGTTCCCACATTCTCTTTTCAACTTTGTCTTTCACGTGCTTAATACAGTTTTCCCATTTTTGCGCTGTTATTAATTCTAATGCTTCTTTGAAAAGTCCTTTGAAGTCACAAAATTTAAAAGTTGTATTGTGCTTAGCTATATAATTTTTAACCTCTGCCCATATGAGCTCAATGGGATTGAGCTCGCAATGGTATGGAGGTAAACGGAGCACAGTTTTATTTTGACTTGCTGCCATTTCGTCAATGGCGTATTTTTGATATTCCGCCTTGTGATCGTTGACAATTCTTAATAATTGTACTTTCAGCATTGCTTCTTCAAAGTTGATATTTTTCGAGCGGAGCCAATTTTGAACATCAACTTTCCTTGAAGCCGTTGTTGGGACCTTCTCCATTCTCCGAGAATGATAAGGCGCATTATCCAATACAATTACTGCGTTTTCCTCTAAGTTCGGTAAAATTTTTGAAAACCACTGTTCGCCATTCATTTCCTCGTGGTAATCTCCAGTTTTCTTAGACTCAAAGCATCACAGACCGTCAACAACAAATCCATCCTCACTGCCAATATGGCAGATAATGAGCCTTTTCCCTTTACCTGGAAATCGAAGTACTAACTGGTGTAGATTTATTTAAATAAGCGAACCTTTTTCAAATGTTTTCATCACATTCAGCGAAAAAACATTGAGACATGAGTATCAGATTGCTATAATTGGGATTATTTAGTCATATTGAAAGAAAGAATATTGAACGTCGTATGATTACTCAGCGCTTCACAATTTAATTTAAAGTTATAAACCTCTAAAAAATGAATGATCAGGAACCTGAAATACGCGCAAATATTAATATTAACAAATTATAACTTTATAAAGCTTAAAGTATGAATTAAAATGATTAGAAATATTAGGAACGGTACACAATATAAAACTTAGTAACTTTTTTTAAGTTGATAATATTCGACATATTTTAAGATTATATTAAAAAATTATTGAAATATCGAAAACACATAAAAACATGGCTTAAAAAAGTTCTAACAAATGAAAATGACAATAAAACATCCACGCATTTTATCGAAAGTTATAAAAGTTTTGTTACTTGTAATATGTTTTATCTGCCCCCTGGAATTAATGTTTAGAACCTTGTTCCCAAGGTTTGAAAAACATCCGATTGTTGTCTATTACTCGTATTTACCTGCTGGATTTTTTAATCCGGTGGACAGTCCATCTAGAAAGGCCCTCCTGGATGAAGTTACAGAATCATCAACCCATACTTTACTTGTAGTGTGTACTGCGTTTACCCATGTTTCATCAAGGTAATAAATCTTTTTTTTCCCCATTTTTTGTTAAATAATCCCTCCTCCATAGCACAATTTCTTCTCTATCCAGTAGTAAACTATTACGACCCCGTTTTTTCCATTTGAAATTTAAATGCTTCAGTAACGCATGGAAAGTTGATCGTTTGAAATTTGGCAACATTGTATCTCCATTTACCTCCTGCAGTACTTTATCTATAGTAGGTATTTCATTCCTAAAGAAGAATTCGTGCACTTTCCTCCTAATCGCATGCTTATCAGCTTCATCCAATGATTTAACAATACTTTTGCGATGTTTACTGGTCATTGGCTCAGAAAAGGTGTGATTTATTTTGTATTGTCTTAACACATTGAACACTGATGCGCGACACACCCCAACATTGTGAGAAACCTTCACAACAATTTCTTTGATGGTTGATGCCTCGTTCTCCTCGCGCTCGATCTTATATATATTCAAAATGACCTCTTTCATTTCTGCACTCAGGTGTCTTTTTTTAGAGCGTTTCCTAGGTGGACTACAGGAGTTTACAACTTCATCGGCAGTATCTGTACTACTGGGCATTTTGCGCAAGCAGTTGATAACAATAACAATCAATAACAAGGTATAACAATAACAACGACAAACTCAACAACTTAATAAGATAACAAACGAAAACTTCCAAAGAAATATCAAATTGCAATGATGCACACGATATACGTAACACGTCTGAACCTGAATGTGACTCTGCCGCTCGGCATAGGCATTTAATTGCGAATTGACCAATGAGGGCTCCTGTTTTACGTCGAGACGGCGGCGTTAGCGTGAAAATCACCCGAACCTTTTGTTTACATCCGGTCTATCTCTTATCTGAATATACTGTATACTTTACCTGGTGGACAAAAACATTCTCTTCCTCCAACCACATTTCTGCAGTGTGCTCCTGGCGCGCAAGCTCCTTGTATTTCACATTCATCAACGTCAGCGCATCCTTGGTATGGGTCTCCGTGAAATCCTTCTGGACAGACGCACGTGTAGGTTCCTGGTACGTTTTGGCAAATAGCGTGTGGTCCGCAAGCGTTCGGGTGCTGGCATTCATCAATATCTGGAAATAAAAAAGTCCCTAGAACGGTGAAACAAAAGAGTTTATCAAAGTTCATCAAAGGACGAAGGCCCGCATTTACAGAGGACCTATTAGGAAGGTCATAAAGGTCATAGTAGGTCTCCTGACAGGACTTGGTCTGGAAGAAGAGGCCACACGCCGCTTCTGCAGAGAGCATGAGGAAACCCCAGTCACTGTGAAGACCTGGCGAGGCTACGGTTCCAGTTAGTAGGAACCACAGATCCAACAGCGGAAAGTTACATGCAAATAGTCAAGGCTATGGTGTTTGATTGAAGGATCAAGGCTGGACACAGTGCTTTAGAAAGTCTATATAGGGGTCGCAAGATATCCAATTGGGGCGCAGCGACGTTAAGCCTAGCAAGCCAACCCCTTTCTTCTGTAATCTAGTCTAATCTAAACCGGAAAGAATGATCTAGGTAGTGCGACGGTGCCCAGACTATATTAAGAACACCTTAAAAAAGCCTGTAAGCATATGTATTATAGAAAACACAGGAAAGCAAAGAGCGACAAGGTTGAAGATCTGAAGGAAGGTTGTGCGGAAGTGGGACGCGCAGACAAATGGAGATATAAGTAGCATGCATAGAGCAAGACGGGATTATGACTGAAATGGAAATATCATACTTGAGCCTTTGTGCACATTGTCAAGTTGAGACAATGGAAGAAAAGCTTTAACAAACAAGATTAGACAGTAGAATAAGGTAACTGGGGAAAAATAAGCTTTCAGGAGAAAAAAACAATCAGAGATAAAAACGACAAATCAATAATTAACTGTAATGGTGCTTCTAAACAGACAATATTTTTTTACTGTAATTTAAGCTGCTACGAAGCATACAATTTCGCAATTCGTTCAAGCTCGATTTTTCTGGCCCGACTGTTGACAAACCCTGTCAAAGAGTGGCGGATCCAGGGCGGTGTTCTGGGACTCCGGACCCCCTCGAATTTATTCGAATTTGAAATATTTCGAACGTGTTTTTCAATATGCCGCTCTCCATTTTCAATCGCACAACCCACGGGGGTTGACATCACCGTGAGCACCTCCCCTCAGTACTTCTTTGAGCGAGTAATTTCAAATTGATCATAAGGACCCCCCTCCAAAATATGTAATTGATCTGAACCTGCTGACAAGTGCATTTCAGACAATATAATATCATTCTTAGCATTTGTCTCGTATGATGAGTTTAAGTCGTAAGACTATGGAGCTATATACGGAGTTACACAGGGATCAAACTTGGGACCATTACTTTTTCTAATTCTTATAAATGATCGATTGGATGCTTTGACAGTAGAAAAACTTGGATTTGCTGGTGGTTTGAAGATATATCGCGCAATATCTAACGACGCAGATTTTTTGGAACTTCAGAGCCAGCTGGACCTGAGACCTGATTCAGAAAAATAATAAATTAACACAAAATAGACAAGTGTAAATAGGCGAGTTTTACAAGGAAGAGATAATTTATAGATTTTAGATTCATTGATGGAAACAGCCTGATTGGATGTACAGAGGTTTGCCATTTAGGTGTCATTTTTGATTGTATGTTCTTTTTCTAAGCATAACGAGAAAAGTGTATCTGAAGCCTTAAGAGCATATGGATTTTTCATAAGGAATTATAGTAGTTTTGATAATATCAGCACTACTAAAATACTTTATTTATATTAGAACGAAAGTTGGATATGGAAGCATAAAACGGAATCCATATGAAGATTTGTGTTGACGAGTTCAGTAAAAATTTCTCAAATTTCTTTTCTTCAAAGTTGACGACATTTATCCCGAAAGGGGAACCAGTAATTCTGTAATAGATTTGAAATACAGGGTGGCGCATCGAAAACGAAACAGACGCATTTACTGGCAGCTCAGTTTTTTTAAAACGCTCAGACCCGTCGATTTTGTTTTCGAGGGGGACACAAGTTTGGCAAAAAACCTAAGCGGGGGTGGCACCACACCCAAAATCTTAAATGGAAAGAAGGTCGAGTGATGTCTCACTTTAAAGGTCTTTCAATTCCCTTTATAATGATATAAAATTAATGTACTTCAGTTGAGTAGTTTTGCAGATTTATTGATTGAAAAGCTTAAATAAAACTAATACATCATCATTAGTAGAGATCAATACATTTGGCAGCAAAGAAATTTAAAAATGAAGAATGAACTGACTCGTTAGGCAAGTAAATGTTGAAAATGGCCACCATGACTCTCCATGCAATAATAAAGATTTTGCTCAAATCGTTGTCGCACATTTTACAGTATTTGAGGAGTAATTTGAAGGCACTCATTCACAATTCTTTGTCGCAGGTCTTCTAATGATGTTGGCTGGGTAGCATAGATTTTGCCTTTTAAATGACCTCGCATAAAGAAATCCAAAGGTGATAAATCTGGCGATCTTGGGGGCCATTCAATGGCACCTCTTCTACCAATCCATCGATCTGGAAACGTCTGATCTAAATATTGTCGAACACGTAATGCGTAATGTGGTGGGGCACCATCCTGTTGGAACATCAACCTATTCGCAATGTACCGCCGATCATCCTGATTTTCAATTATGGCTGTTAATGCAGGATCTATGGCGTCTTCCAGTAATTTCAAATACGTTTCGCCGGTCAAATTTCTAGGTAAGAAAAAAGGACCAACTAAATGACCACCAAAAATACTAGACCAAACGTTTAATTTTTGTGGCTGCCGTGTATGAACCTCATTATAAATTCTGGGATTAGAATCGGACCAATATCGGCCGTTATGACGATTTACTACGCCATTTAATAGAAAGGAACATTCGTCGGAAAAGCAAGTGTTGAATAGAAAATGTTCTTCGTTTATAATTCGTTCACTCATATCTTCACAAAATTGTAATCGCCGATCACAATCGTCTTCATTATGTTCTTGATACCAGGTGAATTTTATACGGATGAAAACTATGGGCCTTTAGAATCCGTTTGATAGTACGTCGACTAACACCACACACAGTCTCCAATTTGCGGGTACTTAACGTAGGATCTACATTTTTTGCCAAACTTGTGTCCCGCCCGAAAACAAAATCGACGGGTCTGAGCGTTTTTCCAAAAAAAAAACTGAGCTACCAGTAAATGCGTCTGTTTCGTTTTCGATGCGCCACCCTGTATATAGGTTCTAGACGATAGAAGACGCTTTCCAGCTTTTACTTAAATTGCTGCATGGATCAATTGATTGTTCTGATATTCTCATTATTCATGTTGGCGTAATGCGACATTTAAACTACCTAGAGCTAATACTAATATGTTATTTAAGTCTACGTTATGTGTGATAAATTAAACTGCAACTTCACCTGTTATGATATATTCTTCTGTTCGCTGAATAACTTCATCAGAATAGCAAGGAGGTTATGGAACTGATTTTGAATTTTTGTTTTTGGGGTAATTAACTGCATCAGTTTTTATAATAATCGCATACACAGGCATGTAATTTAGTTGTTACATTATGGGAAACCGTTGGATAGTAAAGCCATCATTGCCAAGATACAGCTGAAAAATGTAGCCAAGCCATATGCTGCAAAATGATGGTTAGGCTATAGTTTAAATAATGTCGCAACAAAAACATTAGTCATCAAGAGGCTCCATAACGGATAGATGGATATATAAAGAAGAAGAAAAAAGAAAAACAGTTGCATTTGATTCTATTGTAAAGATTCCTTGATTCACTATTCCCGTACTTACCTACACATTGGACTTCACCATCACCTGTGAATCCTGGTGAGCATTTGCATAGAAAATGCGCTGGTAAATTGCAACACTCTGCGTTCTCAACGCACCTGGAGGCGATTGCTGGATCTGCACATTCGTCGATATCTGGAACAAAAAAAAAAATTGTTGAATGCATCCGGTGGAAAATTTGTGAACAGAAATGTTTAGATACAGAATGTCAGGAATATAACGGTCACGATAGAAAAAGTACTTCGTCCTCAAACACTTCTGTGTAAAAGATGGTTTAGCTGGAATTTTCTTTATATTCCCATTTCGTAATATATAGTATACAGGGTGTCCCAGAGGTCGACGTCAAGCCGAAACCGGGTGATAGGCAAAGTCATAACAGCTATCAGAAAAATATTTAAAAAAATTTTATGTATGTGTTTTGAAAATTATAGGTCGTTGAAAAAGATATAGAAATTTCACACCCTACGGCAGTCTGTCAACTCCTGTTACTACAAATATTAACTTTTTTTGGATTTTATTTTTACAATGTAATGATGAATAATGCATCTTCAAACTGGTGTCTCAACCTTACTGCCAACTTTTCTCGTTCAGGAAAAATCTTAAGGATAACTGTTTGTTATTAACAAACTCAGCTGCTTCCAATATTCTTGGCCGTAGCTCAGCTACGTTTTGAATCGGCTTGAAATGCATTTTTTCTTTTACAGTTCCCCAGTAAAAAAATCTAAAGGATTCAAATCAGGTGATCGGGCTGGCCACGGTATTGTACCAGACCGCCTTATCCATCTGCCTGGAAAGTTTTGATCGAGATACTCTCTCACTGAGAGTACATAGTGCGCTGGGCAGCCATCATGCTGAAACCACATGTCCCTGTAAACATTCAGTGGCACGTCCTCCAATAAATTTTCTAAATGATTTTGCAAAAATCCTAAATAAACCTCAGCAGTCAGTCTCTGGGAACTCAAACGGACCGATTATTTTACCATTTAAAATTCCTGTCCAATAGTTTATCTTGAAGCGATATTGAGATTTGTCTTCTCTCATCAAATGTGGGTTTGCTACGTGCCACTCATGTAAGTTATGCAGGATCATGTACCCATCTTCCTTAAATGTGGTCTCATCCGACCATAACTGTGGATCTTTCCTGTGTCTTTCTAACATTGTGCGACAAAAAGCAACTCGGGGCTCATAATCCCGGGGCAGGAGAGGTTGAACACGCTGTATGTGGTATGGATGAAGCACATCACTTACTTGCTATTGCACACTTTGATACCGATCAGTACTCCTTCATTTAGTGCGCATCTTTACATGTTCGTGCTTGTTGATTTCGTACTGTTACTAATTTTGGATTCGTGAACTGGACTGTTGATCGCTTGTGATTTGGATTTGGACTGTTTAATTGCTCTTCAAAACAACATTTGCTTTCCTTAGACTATCTTTGATAGTGTGATTGTGCAGTGCCGCTATGTCCGTGTACACCGTACAAGAATATGCTAACATGCACCTCATTTATGGGGAATGCAGATGCAACGCTAGTGCTGCAGCGAGACTTTACTGTGAGAGGTACCCGAATGCAGCTCGTCATCCAGATCATCGAGTGTTCACAAATGTGCACCGCTTACTGTTCTCAGAGGGCCAACTACCAAACCAATCACACGGTGAGGGAAGATCTTTCCTTCCTTACGAAGACGTGGTGCTAGGAACTGTCGAAGAAGACCCGAGTACTTCAGTGCGTGCAATAGAACTAAAAACAGGTGTGCCCAAAAGTACAGCCCATAGAATCTTGCAAAAAAACGTGCTCCATCCATACCACGTACAGCGTGTTCAAGCTTTTCTGCCCCGGGATTATGAGCCCCGAGTTGCTTTTTGTCGCACAATGTTAGAAAAAGACACAGGGAAGATCCACGGTTCTTTGAAAAAATTTTATGGTCAGATGAGACCACATTTAAGAAAGATGGGTACATGAACCTGCATAACCTACACGAGTGGCACGTAGCAAACCCACATTTGATGAGAGAAGATAAATCTCAATATCACTTCAAGATAAACCATTGGACAGGAATTTTAAATGGTAAAATAATCGGTCCGTTTGAGTTCCCAGAGACTTTGACTGCTGAGGTTTATTTATGTTTTTTGCAAAATCATTTAGAAAATTTATTGGAGGACGTGCCACTGAGTATTTACAGGGACATGTGGTTTCAGCATGATGGCTGTCCAGCGCACTATGAACTCTCAGTGAGAGAGTATCTCGATCAAAACTTTCCAGGCAGATGGATAGGGCGGTCTGGTACAATACCGTGGCCAGCCCGGTCACCAGATTTGAATCCGTTAGATTTTTTTACTGGGGAACTCTAAAAGAAAAAGTGTATTTCAAGCCGATTCAAAATGTAGCTGAGCTACGGCAAAGACTATTGGAAGCAGCTGAGTTTGTTAATAACCGTGGATTCGCTCGTTTAATAACCCGATCTTTTTTAAGAAGATGTCGAGCGTGTATTGCGGCTGAAGGAAAACAGTTTGAGCATTTGCTGTAAAGGTAAATCATCATCAGCAGCATTTTGACGCCCACTGTTGTGCAAACAGTTATCTTTAAGGATCCTTGTTCGTTTTCATAATCGCTGTTTAATTAGGAAATTTTGAAAAATTTTCATCAGTTTTTCTTCAAATAAAAATTGTGCATAAGTTAACGAGTAATCTTCTAAGTGTTATACCATTTTGGAATCCTTATTAAATGCGCCAACTTTTAAGGTTACTTGCCAAACTCTCGTAGTACGTTTTTTTCCAGTACAGCCAGTTAAAGTTGAGCAAAGTTTTACTTTGGAATCCTTGGTTGGGAAATAAGTGGCAATTTTGCCTGAGCGAGAAAAGTTGGCAGTAAGGTTGAGACACCACTTTGAAGATGCATTATTCATCATTACATTGTAAAAATAGAGTCCAAAAAAGTTAATATTTGTAGCAACAGGAGTTGACAGACTGCCGTAGGGTGTGAAATTTCTATATTTTTTTCAAAGACCTATAATTTTCAAAACACATACATCAAATTTTTTAAATATTTTTCTGATAGCTGTTATGACTTTGTCTATCACCCGGTTTCGGCTTGACGTCGACTTCTGGGACACCCTGTATGTAGTTTATTCAAACATAGATCAAGAACTAATTTTTTGTAGCCTTGAAAGCTTAGAATCATAATGAGTTAAGAGGCATTTTCTAGGTCTTAAGAACTTTGATGAACCACTGCGCCAATTTTCCTGCACTATAGCTAATCTGAAATACTTATCCCCTAATGCATGTATCATCATTAACTGCGTTCTTGTCTATATCTGGTATTTCAGTTGAGGAGCGGCACATCTATGGACTATACCTGGTGTTTCAAATTCGACCCTCGCCATCGAAATCTCGAAAAGACTAAGAGATACGAAGTTGCTTAAGTGAGGAAAAAGTCGAATATTTTGGTAAGTAATAAAATGCTGCTTAAACAGTTTCAAAATTTAAAGTACTTTCGGTCAGGAAGAGAGGAACAGAATTTTCCCAAAATCGTTTTAATTTTTCCCAGAGGTTATTTGTAGAGGGATTCAAATTGAATTGCAAATCAAATTTCCACTTTTTCTCCTTTAAAATATGGAATAATGAGAATTTCAATATCACGATTCTTGTCCTCTAGCATCAACTTCATTTTGTATAACAGACGCCATATTGGATTTTTGCGTATATTTTAGGTAATAACCTAAATACGCCCCCTTTCGAGAGACTTCGTATCATTACGAGATCCCAAAAGTGAGTGTCGGATTTGAAATACACATCCAAAAACCCTGGAAACAGGTATACGACGGCATTTCTGCAACCGCCTACAAAAGCGAGTTAGGGCTGGGATTCTATGCGGAATCCAAACTCGACAGACCACTAAATCAATGTCCATTTAAATTGTTCCAATAGTAGAAAAAATCCGATGAGATAACTTCGCGATAAACTTGAAATATTACGCCTCCTTTAGAGGTCGTCGCAGCGTCCCACAAGCCTGCTGCATTCCTCGTCCTTTTCGAGAGTCGCCGATCTGCAATAACTCCGTATTTTTCCAGCATCCCACTCGTGGCGTGCTTTGCCATGATAATGAAAATGCCTCGCAAGGATGTTCCGGCCTTGATGCAAGGCGATTATCTGAAGCAGAATTGTGACGCCTCGGGTCTGCATATTGTTTCATATCACGGAGGCTGTCGGTAGTTGTAGGTGGTACTTGTTCGATGTACAGTACTGACAGAAAACGGTGGACGCTATTTTCCATGAAATTATCACTGATCAACAGCCAAAAAATATCCTAAATAAAATCAACAAAATATTACTATTTTTAATGTGCTAAAACCGGAATGAAACTTATTTTTTCAATATTAGTTCAAGTTTTAGAGATACGGTAATTATATGTGTTCTTGCTGTGACAGTGTTAATATACTGTAATTCACAAGAATGCACGTGCTATATTTTTATATTCGGCAAGGAAAGATGATGTAATCGACATGATTGTGTTACGTTATACATACGTGTACATTATATTGTTTTATATTAGCCATTTTTTCCTCAGTTGGCTGACAGCGTTCATGCAAGATGTCTCGAAAGTGTGTAAACAATCCAGATCAGTTTTGTTACGTGTGTGGTGATGTGACTTTTGCGTCTCAGAGACGGTCTATTACTCCACTAATAACAAAGGCATATCAGCTTTATTTCGGTTGTTAACTAGGTGATCAAGACAAACAGTGGGCACCCCACATCTGCTGTAATACATGTGCTTCAAGTCTGAGGAGCTGGTTAAATGGCAAAAAACGGTCTATGCCCTTTGCTGTCCCAATGGTTTGGATCTCTCGCCTACAAATCATATTAATGATTGTTACTTTTGCATGGTACCTTGTGAAAAAAAAAATCGGTTATTAACTACCCAAACATACCATCTGCGATGAGACCTGTGCCTCACAGTGACGAAAATCCTATTCCAAAACCCCCAGAATCCTACACTTGCGAATCAGAAAACGAATCCGATCATGCCGATCGAGTGATTCGAAGAAGATATGCCATCAACGTCAAGAGATCCTGATTTTATACCGAGCACGTCATGCCACCAACCGCACAAAATAACACAGTCAGAATTAAATGATCTTGTAAGAGATTTAGAACTTCCAAAATGTAAGGCAGAGTTACTTGGATCAAGACT